TGATGAAGATGAATTTGAAAAAATTGTTTAGAGAAGTGTATGATGATAAATCAGCTGTGAAATTTTATCAAGATCATAGCATTATTGAGGAGAGCAAAATGTGTGAATTTGGCAACTCAATGTCAATTAAATATAGAGAAAACTGAGGTCCACGTTGGAGGTTTTCATGAAATATGTGTAAGTGTGAATGCAGTATAAGAACAGGTAATTGATTGCAGGAGTTTAAATTGCTCTTGGATACAATTATACATTTCATTTACTGTTGGACTTATGATCTCCAATCAACTGATTTTTGTGATCAAAAAGTGAATATGGCACACACTGCAATGTTATTGACTACAACAATTACATGAGAGAGGTATGTATCTGAAAGTATATGAAGGAAAGTACGATGATAGGCGAAGAAGGATTTATTATAGAAATAGACGAAAGAATATTTCTTGAAAAGAAAATGTTGGGAGAATGACAAAGGAGCAGTGAATGGTCAGAGAAATATTTTGCTTATCTGATGAAAGATTCCTTCATACTGTTGAAGACAGATCTGTGGCAATTCTACTAGATATAGTTTGTGAACAAATAAAACCTAGTTCAATTATCATGAGTGATAGAAAAGCATAATGGAAGTAGATAAATGATACCAATATCTTTGTATAAATTACAGATACACTTTTGTGAAACCTGAAACTCCTATCAATACTCAGGAAATAGAAATAATGTGTAGTTCAGCTAAATGGAAAAATAAGAAAATTCATGGAACCCACAGAACTTTACTACATTTGTATTTAGAAGATTTAATGTGCCACCAAAAACTTATAGCGATGGATCCATTTACCTCAATCATAACATAATTTCATTATTTTTACAATAATTGTCTTCTTGTTAATAAATAATTTTTTGCAGCATATATTTTTAAATCTAGTTTTACCATATTATAATTTAAAAAAAAAAAAAAATATCCAAAAACCAATAGATAGGATGCAATCAAATATCATATCCTTTTTTTAAAAAAATATGTCATACTCAGTAAAAAGATGAATTCATTAACAAAGAATTTCAGAAAAATTTAAAAATGCATTCTTACCGATATAATCCATTTTATACTTCGGAATTTTAGGACCATTCTTTAAAAGATGATAATCATAAATGCAAAGGCCAAGGCCCACTATTCCTATGACTGAAGCTGCTGTGACACCAGGCATTTGATGCCAACATTTTTTTAAGAAACCATTAACTAAAATAAAACCAGTAAGAATATAGCAAGGATAAGAGAAACCATAATAAATGTAACAAGAACCAATTAAGCCAAAAAACAACTTACTTCCTTTACCATAAACCTCAGCAGACATTTTATTAAGTTATTATCAAAATTGATTATAAAATTAATAATAATCAACAGAAAACAGCTGCAAACCACTAGCGCCTAACTTGGTCTTAATTAGAATCACGTGAAAATTTGAGTTGTATCTCTTTGCTTGAGAAAGATGGCACTAACTAAACTACTACATAGCTCTAAGACCCGATAATACCTAGCAATTAAGTTGCAAGTAATTTTTCAAACCCAATACTCGCTAGGTCAAATACAATGTTCAGAATCTGATATAGTACACAAATGAGGCATTGATGGCCGAACGTTTTAAAGCGTTGCCAGTAGTGATGTGCTAAACTGTTATATTTATCAGTTTAGCACATCACTACGAATTTATCAATGTGTTAATTTTGACTACAGTTTGTACCACTTTACAGATCCTTTTCGATGATAATATTAAGGTGTGTTTAGAAAATTCATAAACTATGGGAACACACAACTATCTAATTCAGGGGTCTCTTAACTACGGTCCCCAAGCACTTTCACGAAAGTTTCTTCAATTGTACAACATTTTAAATCTATTTAAAAATATGAAATTTAGCATATTACTCATACGTGATTTCTATAACACTTATTTCGGGGGTTTTCGCTCCTATATAGCTCATTTTTTAGCTGAAGTGTCATTTATAGAACAATCTTTTTTACAAAAACGCATCTTTTTTTTAGAACCAAGGCCCGCGGGACTTGACTTAGTGGAAGTCTCAATGCAACTCGCGGGCTTTATTGTTAATGAGCATTAAGATATTTCAGAAATTATGGAAAACACAATTATCTAATTTAACTAATAGTGACATAACAGCTAAGCCCAACTTCTTGTTTTATTTCTCTTGTCAACGAGAGCAAATGGAAAACATACAAATTAATAAACAAAAGCACTAGCATAGGGAAAACTATTGAAATATATTTATGTTTCCTATAATTTGTGAAATATATAAACGGCCCTTTACTTGTTCACTAGTTGGGGATTGTTATAGAGGTACAACCAAACTTATCCTAAGCAGAATGGGGAGGTCGAGATTCATTCCGTGGGACCGGTACAAAATAAATTTTAACCCGCTAAGCGCTTTAACACGCTCGGCAATCACGACCAGAAATATTTATAAGTTTTAATAACAGTAAACTACTTAATATATATTTTTTTTTAGCGTCATCCCCTTCCTTGCCTTTAAGGCTATATGGGGTTTTCCCGAGTCAGGGGGTGTGGGCGGGAATTTAAAAGACTCCCACGGCACCGGGACGCGAACTCTTGAATATTTTAAATCCATTGTCTCATATATCAGGTTGCCGTACAACGACAGTGCTATGCACACACGTTAGTCCATTCGGCCATTCCGCCCCCTTAATATAATATTATAGAGTTTGAAATCATACCTGAGATATCCTTATATTCAGTCTTGCCCCTCCCCCAATATGAAAGCTGCGTACGTCCTTGAAGTCTATTGTTGCCTCATTCTTTCTCGAGCTGTAAATTCCACGTAATATTACAATGTTTTATTATACCTCAAGGCGTTGTTTGTTTATGAAGGATGTCTTCATATTCTTCTTCTTATACGGCATGACAGTTGGCGTGATGACAAGAACTCTTTCAGCTTTGACCCCCCAGTCATCGCGATTCGGTACTGCTGCCTTCTACTTCCGGACTCCAAGCATAGATCCGCAGCTATACCATCCACCCACCGCAACCTTGGGCTTCCTCTTTTCGTTTTGTCCAATATTCCTTCGATTGGTATGTTTATTTTTTACCTGACCCTCATGCTTTCTAATGACATGTTCAGCCCATCTGAGGTGGCTTACTTCAATAAAGGTGACCACGTCAGCATCCCCATACAGTTTCATTAATTTACCATTAGTCTGTTGTCTCCAAATTCCTTTCACGCATATTCCTCCCAAGATTCTCTTCCGGATCCGCCTCTCAAAACTTAGCGTAGCCTGTTCCTTATTCCTAGCGATAGCCCAGCATTCCGCAGCATAAGTAAGTACCGGCCTTACCAGGGTCTTCTACAGGTGGATTATTAGTGACTCGGGATACTACTCTGCTCTTGAAATGCCCATCCAGTCCATGGTAAAGCAGTTTTTTTGCAGAGAATACCCGAAGCTGAATCTTTTGTACAATATCATTCTGAGAATTGAATTGTGAGCCTAAATGAATGAATTCCTCCAATCTCTTAAAGGAACGCGTCTCAATATGTACGTATACTTCTTCTCCACAAGGAGCTGTAATCGAGTATTTTATTTTTGCCTCATTAATGACGAGTCTCATTCTTTCAGTTGTCCAATGGAGCTCCAAAAGTACATCTTTCATAGCTTCAAAAGTTCTTCCCATTATGTCAATATCATCCGCATACCCAAGGGTCATTGCAGTTCTATTGATAACTAAATCTCCAACTTGGATTCCAGATCTTCTCACTGTACATTCCAGGGCTAAGTTAAAAGTAGACACGCAATACAATCCTTGTCTAAGCCCGTTATGGGTGCAGAAGTACTCTGAGATCATACCTTGGATACGAACCAAACATTTATCCCTCAGCGTAGTTATGCTTATAAGGCGAATACGCTTCACATGAATTTCCATTTCAAAGGTCCGCTGTCTTCTCTCATTACACTATCATGTGCAGCCCAAAAATCAATAAAGTGGTAATGGGTATTTATCTTATACTCCCTACATTTTTCCAATTTTCTTCTCAGGAGGACGATTTGATCTATTGAGGATTTTCATTTCATAAAGCACATGTAGCAGTGTAACAATACTTAACATGATCTTCGAAAAATAGGAATAATAAGATTTCAGAATTTCCTAAGCCTCTATCTCGTGTATTTGTCTGCTTTGCTTTAGTATTGCTGGGAACTTTAATCGAGATAATGGGTGGTAAATTAAGAAGGTCTCTCACAGTCCATTTAGAGTTCCAGATACAACCATTTATCGGTAAGGGAATCATATCTCAGGTTTGTCTTTTTCTCTTTAACTATTTCGGTTGATCCCAAAATGTTTGTTTTTACTTTTCTTAATCGACATGCCTGTGATCCCATAAATTCAAAGATATGTTATTAACATAACTGCTCTAATAAATGGGACCAACAACCGCTCCCTCGTTAAAAGAAAAAAAATACTATTGATATAAATTAAGTACAAAGTAAAATTTAAGTTTTCTATTGCCATAACAGGTTCTTGACAGTTTCCAGCATTTACCGATAAATTTAAGTCGAGAAACCCAAGAGTTACTTTTGTAAAAAGTTAAAAATTATTTTTGTTAACATCTATTTTAAAATGAAGAATATAAAATTTCAACACTTTATTTCACATAATTACATCCTTGTGGTCATACCTGTCAACTAATGGAATACTCCAATTTAAATAGTGTCAGCTACAGGTGCAACAAAGTCTCTAGTTTTCCTTTTTTTTCTAATTTAGGTGAATGATTCATAGATTTTAAATGTGCCTTGGCAAGATGATAAGTGATTCTATAAGAAAAAGCCAATGATATTATTATTTAAGTTTTTAAACCTAAAAGTTCAAATAAATTTCCTTAAGCATGTCAGTTTAGTGGTACATTTCCTGCATTGAAAATTGTGAAAACACACCGTATATGATTCTCTTTGTAATTCCCGCCTCCATTTCAACAGGGAAATAAACAGTGATGGGTCATTCTCTTGCAGGTTTCTTATTGTAATTTAGGGTTTTAGATTTTTTATTTTTTTTTATCAGACGTGAATAATTAATGTATTTTAAGTTTATGATTTTATTTGTGTTAGAAATTAGTGTTCACTGCTAAGTTTTTTACCGTTTGACTAAGTCATAAAATGACAGTGAAAGAAATATTATTGTTGAATGGTGGGATTGTGGCAGGATATATTTTTTACAAGTATTATCAGTATAAAAATACTCTGAAAGAGATTCAGGGATTGATCAGCAGGAAAAAACATTCTGTAAATACTGCCTTGTTTTTTTGTGCTTCTGGTCTTGGAGACTGTGATAAACATATCTATAAAAAGAAAATGTGTGATAAATCAGACTGTCCATACAGGAAATTAAGGTGAGAGTAATTATTTGAATTAATAATTTTTCTGATAGTGGATTAATAATTGACGGTTGTAGATATATTGAAGAGAAGTTGGTTGAAATATACTGTCGAAAAAAGTAAAAATTAATAAGTTATATTTATTTTTTCCCACCTTTCAAGCCTTATAAACGACGAAATAACATAAATATGAGAAGCTAGTAGACAGTAAAAGTTATAACATTTAGGTAAAAGGTATAGTCTAATAACAAATGTTATAGTACCTCTTATTATTAATGTTAAGTTTACTCTATCCACATATTATTAGAACATATCTTTTACCATATTATTTCTCATTTTTATGTTGTATTGTCTTATCTTAGCTCAGAAACTTGGGCCAAAATGTTGGCACTATAAATTAAAAATAATTTATTTACCGTCAACAACAATAAAACTCAAATTACTGCGTCCTAACTGTTTATCTATTTGATTTTATTATTTTAATTTAATTTACTAATTTATTTATTTTCACTTTTTTCTTTGCTTGATTAAATACCACAACTTATTTTTCTTTAATAATATTTTTTTTATATTGGTTAGTAGTAACTTCTAAGGAAATAGTCATTATAAATTATACTGTAATAGCCGATTGGATTATTAAATTATTCATTTTATTCCCAGTTAAGCACTGCTCAGCTTTTAGAAATAATGCAGTTTATAGTCTTAGTACGTGCAGTGTTAACTAAGTGTTGTCAGGTATATTATGAGGCAGCACATCAAGCTAAGGGAAAGTACTTCTTTTATAGAAACGAGTATTAATTTCAATTTTTGACAACTTTCACCTGAAATGGGTTATTAAATAAAGGTTAAATGTTAAAATAAATTTGATGGCAATATCAGTACTCTATTATTTTACACTCTCTCTTTATTAATGTAAGTTCTCATCACCCAAGGAAACCTTTTCAGCGGGCACATTAATCATCATGGCTCTTAATGCAGTGCAGGTCATGGCTACCTGTTGAATAGTCTTATTAATATTACAAGTGGAGATTGGAGATCTGTTTTATGACTACAGTTGTATGCCTAAGGGATTGTGAAAATTAATAGGGACTTAGTTAACATTTAGCCAGAGATAGATCTTACTAGTAAAACGTTAGGAAGTATTATCTCAGGATACTGAGTTTTAGGGTTGTCACCTACTGTTGGCTCCATTCCTAAATATATCTACTTCTAGTTTTTAACAATTGTCAATCATAATGTTTTCCAAAAGACCCCTTGTAAGCATGCCTAACTACTTTTTAGTGGAGATGATTATGACAAACAGCTCCAACTAAAATTTGTCCCACTTCATGTGAATTAGACTTCATATGCTCTAGTAACAAGATACAGAGTCTTCACTATTCTGTTTTGTTCCTAATTTTTATTCAACTTTTTCTAAATGTAATGTATTTAAAGTTGATGATATGATCCATTTTTCTAAATGTAATGTATTTAAAGTTGGTGATATGATCCATTTTTCTAAATGTAATGTATTTGAAGTTGGTGATATGATCCATTGCTAATCGATCATATAGTTTTTGGCATATATAAGTTGAAGAATATTTGCAATAGTGATTTTCTATGGATTGTTTATTGACAGACTTAAATTATACTGTGTTTATTTAAAAAATAACACTGCTAAAACTCATGAGATAACGTGTGTTCAATTGTTGTTTTGGAAGTAATGTTTGAATTTAAGTTTATTACTTCTATTTAATTATATTAGTATAATGAATATATTCCTATTTTTTGGTCATTCTATGACATGACTTAAGTCTTATATTTACTTCAAACACCTTTTTGATGATTATCAAATTAATCAGATATTGGTATTATGTTTGATAAGCTTATCTTACTTATTATAAGCTGCTTTATTTCTTGTTACAAGTAATTAATTACTAACTGATCATTTCTGGTATGTTCATAACGATTATTTATATGAAGCATTCTCATCTAATAAGATGTTATAAGCAACACTTGTTTATTAATATGTTTCAATAAATAATCAGGCATATTAATTATTACAAAAAAAGAAAACTTTATTATATAAAATTACAATTTTCAGTTTTAAAAAATATACAAAAGTTTAATCTATTGTAGTGCCTAGTAACAAATAATTTATTGTTTTATAAAAGTATCTCATCTAATTAAATAAACACGTTTTACTTAAATTCTTTAACCAGTCAAATGCAATACCTGACTAAGTAATCAGTAGTTAAAGCAATTAGTAGGACTGCAATAAGCATAGTTTTATAACTTTTATTTTATAAAGGTCCATATTACACTCAGAAATATAATTTACAATATGAATAGAAACATGTATATGTTTTTATAAACTGCTATCTCTGCAATTTTAACTGCTACCTCTTGCATTACTGCTACTGGCGGTAATATGTTGCATTTCTAACTGACTTTGTGCAATATCTGCTAGAGAAGCCTGCACTTGTTCCCATAATATTTCTCCTTTTCGTACAACTTCTTCTAATCTTTCAGCAGCTTCTTGGTTTTCTTGTTCCAATTTGCGGAGGCATTGGTGTTGCAGATCATTTGAAGATTCATCACTTGGCAGAGATTCTATTAATGCATCTATATCTTTTGCACATCTTGTTATAAGCGCTGCGAAAAGTTGGGCATAATCATCCTGCTGTTGAGGAGTCTGAGACCCTGATCTATCAAAGCCTGCAAACTTACTTGGAGTTGAGTGCTGCTGCAAAATCCCAATGCTGTTACAAAAATATTCAGCCTGTTGGTTAACTGTGTCTTGAAGTTGAGTCAGTCGGTCTGCCATAGTTTATGATCTACATATACATTAACACAATAGTAGTAACCAGTAAACAATCCAAGTACCACTCCCAAAACTTCTACCTGTCAAGCCTACATGCTATGGTATTGTAACCTCCTCTCAGTGTTGCCAGTTAGATGCTGTAAAAATTTCCCATGTTTGTACTTAAACCGCTAAAACACCCACTACTACAGAAATAGAGAAATAATAATTAAAAACTAGCAAGTTTTCAGCTTTGTAATTGTTCTATCTATAAACCGTTATATAAATTTACGACCAAATGACCCGATCTTCTCGGAATCTGGCACCTCAAAGGTGCGTTTAAACATTTCTATGGGAAACATTATTATCTAACTTAACTAACAGAGGCATTATTGCTAAATCAATTGATACCGACAGCTGATGATGAATATAAAAAATACTAGGATAGTGAACTATACATTTATATATTCTTTTGCCGCTTTGTTTTTAAAATGTCTAAACTCACCTTTGGAGACTATTTCACTTCAGGATTGACTAGTATATACTCCTCTTGATTGCTTTTAATTTTCTCTTTCAAGATATTTAAAATGATTGTACTTCGAATATTCCTCTAAGTTATCGAGTACTTTTTTTACAAGAGTAGGCATGTATGTATATTTACTCTATACTTATGAGTATTCGATTTCGAAAATAAAATAAAACTAATATACTCCTTTTCTTATTTAATTAACATTCGTAATAATCGTAATGTTTATGATTATTGCTTCTCTTCCGTTCTTTTTATTTTATTCGTATTTTCTATCCTGATTTATGGTATCGATATTAAAACTCATTCGATTCCGCTTATACATATCGATATTTTACTCTGTCCTTGTAGGTTTCTAGTCGACAGGTTACATACATAGGATCTGTGTTACCACGTTTTTTTTATTGCAGTTTTCTATTATTTATGTAAAATGTTAACTGAGTGGAATAAGCTTGAACCTCCGCTATGTGATTTCATCATTAGGACGTTAGAAAATTTAAATTTCACCCATATGACACCAGTACAAGCTTCATGTATCCCTCTTCTTCTACAAAATAAAGATGTGGCCGCGGAAGCAGTCACTGGAAGTGGTAAGACTTTAGCATTCCTTATACCTCTGCTTCAAAGGATGTACAAGAGGCCAGAAAAATGGAAAAAATTTGAAGTTGGAGGACTCATTCTCTCACCTACTAGAGAGTTAGCAGTTCAGACTAGTGAAGTTCTATCAAAGTTTTTGGGGCATATGGAGGAACCATTTGTACAAGCACTAGTGATTGGTGGAACCGACATTTCAGAGGAAATTGAAAGGTTGTCTACACAAAGTTCACATATTATAATTGCCACTCCTGGAAGATTTGAAGATATATTAGATAGAGGTTGTCCCCTGCTGCATAAGGCATTGAAATCATTAGAAATGCTTGTGTTAGATGAAGCTGACAGATTGTTAGATTTAGGTTTTGAGAAGTCTTTAAATGCAATTTTAGCTTATTTACCAAAACAGAGAAGGACAAGCCTTTTCTCCGCCACTCAGACTCGTCAACTTGAATTGCTTGTTCGTTCAGGTTTACGTAATCCAGTGATAGTATCTGTGAAGCAGCATGATTGCAATTCTATCATTTCTACTCCCAAAGAACTGAAAAACTTTTACAAGATTTGTCAACCAAATGAGAAATTAGTGTATACAATGAAATTTTTAAAGCATCATGGACCCAATGATAAATATATTGTATTTTTCTTAACTTGTGCTTGTGTTGAGTACTTTTCTTCACTGTTAATTCAGTTACTTCCAGATTTTCAATTTTTCCCTCTACATGGTAAGATGAAGAAAAAAAGACAAAAAATACTCAATAAATTTCGAGAGACCAACAATGGTGTGTTGCTTTGTACAGATATTATGGAAAGAGGTATTGATATACCAGATGTTAATTGGGTTGTCCAATATGACCCGCCAACTTCTGTTTCTGCTTTTGTTCATAGATGTGGCAGAACTGCTAGAATTGGTCATATAGGGTCTGCTCTTACTTTACTTATGCCTAATGAAGATGCTTATGTTGAATTCATTCAGAGAAATCAGAAAGTATCTCTTGAGGAATATGAAAAGATTGACTGCCTTCAAGAAATTGAAAGAGTTTCACAAGTTGCAAAAAATTTGCAACTGAATGACAGAGCTTATTTTGATAAAGCAAATCAAGCTTTTGTGTCATATTTAAGAGCATATAAAAATCATGAGTGCAGTTTTATTTTACGTGATAAAGATTTAGATTTTGGTGGTTTGGCTACATCATTTGGACTCTTGAGACTACCGAAAATGCCCGAGTTGAAAAATATTCAAGTTGAATATAAATCGGTTGATGTGGATTACAATAGTATAGAGTATAAGGACAAGCAAAAAGAAGCTTCTAGGGTTAGCAAGCTAGAATCTTTTAAGGAAACTGGAGTCTGGCCAGGAAATGGAAAGGTTAAGAAAAAGTCAGTTCCATGGTCTATCACAAAACAAAATAAAGAAGAAAGAAAATCAAAGAAAACAGAGAAGATGCTTAAGAAAAAGCAGAAAATTGAAGAGGGCAAAACAAAAACTAAAAGAAAGAGGAAGCGAATAACAGATGAGCAATGGAAGGAATTAGAAGAAAATATTGCATTTTTGAAAAAAGTAAAAAAATCAAAAAATGTTGAGTTGGATGAGGATGATATGTAAGGTGTGTTTTGTTTTGTATATTCTTCATTTAATTGTAATTAAATGTTATTGTTGAGTCAGTGATACTATCTAGAATTAAATATATGTTTTTATTAATATTGTTTCTAACATGCATCAATATATAAAATAAATTACTTTATAAATGTTATCTTAAACATTTCATGTTTAAGGGTAAGTGCACATTTAAAAACTCCATAAAAGAGTTAGTAATTAATCTAGTGTCCAAATAGTAATATGTCTAATATTAATTAAATATGGCTGTACTTCAGAGTACTACTGCCTCCTGTTCGAATTTAACTGATGCCTTCTTTACTTTAATGTAAGCATAAATTTTATAATATATTGTAATAATCCATTTGTCTATCTGTTTTTACAGTTGCATCATGGACTGTCTCAATAGCAGTAGAAAAACATTAGATGTATGTATTCATCTTCTGACAAGCATGGAAATAGCCAATTGTATTATCGATGCACACAAAAGAGGAGTTAAAGTTCGTGTTGTTTGTGATAATGAAATGTCTACCAACAAAGGATCTCAAGTTCGCATTATTAATCAATGTGGTATTACTTTTGTTATTTCTGTTGGCAGAACCAATAATTTTTAATATATTTTTATTTTATTTTTTTTAAATATCAGAAATGATGTGTAAATAGTTAACTATTTTTTATTTTGTTAATAAAATTCTGTGATTAACATTAGTCACTTTTGTAACACATTCTCCTTTATCAGAAATTTAAATAGATCGAGTCTTAAGATTTCAAACTGTTACCTTAACACATTGCCTACAGCACTTAGCTCGCTCTATGCACTTCCAGACCCTGCACATTTTGGGCGTTCCTGGAACACTTAATGCTTTTTTTGAATTAGGACATAGTTAACAAAATAATCCTTATAAACTATAATTACTGTTTTCTTACAAATTAAAACACGAACTTTGAAATAAATTCCTGTGCGACAATAAAACACTTAATATGATACAATACATGATTCACACATATCTACCGATATAATGGCTATGCTGATTGACTCATTTTTATGCTCTCGGATTGTCGACATTCATTTATTTTGCTTACCATTTGTTATAAGACTTCATTACCCTTGTAACATAACAAAAAAATCTAATTTTAATTCCTTAAGTTGTTGTCGAATCAAAAAACGTGAAAACCAGATATCTCATCATACGCAATATGTAAATATCAAACCAATTATCATAGCTGTTAGTAATAGAATATCTATTTCAAAAAGCAGTTTGCTTCCATAAATCATGCACTTACCACCAATACCTCTTTTTAAATTGCTTTTCCAAATATTTTTTCATCTCTTTTCTGTAATTAAAAAGAAAAATAAATAAATAAAAGAAGAGTAACAAACTTACAAATAAATTAACTTAACAAAGTGCCAAGAAGTAGTTTCCTGTATTAAAATGAAGACTTGTGAGAGGACAGATTTAAAAGAATATAGCAATATGATATAATACTGATTTGTTTGTTAATAGTTCGGAAATAAAACTTGCTAAGTTTTCTGTACATCAATCCACCTGTAACATTTAAATTGATTTATTAATATCAAGTTTAGGAGTATACATTAAAGATAATTTAATTACCTATATAGAAAACAGATCTTCAAAAGAGAAATAATACTCAGTAGTTTAAAATTTAGTTAAGAAACAATGGCCACTGAGTGTGTTAAGATATTAGCATTCTCCAAGAAGAAGTGATTCCTGTTTCAATCAGATAGACCCATCGAATAAATTTTGCTGTGGCTTCAATAGGAGTTGCCTGCTGGATAACCAGCATGTCTATCCATTCCTGTTGCTGAACAATGGTAAATCTCCTGTAAGAAAAAACTAAAATAACTACAAATAAATCTATGGTTATAACTATAAACAACAAATAACTACAAACAAAATGAAAAAAGGGTACCTGAATGTATGGTCCCATTAATGGATATTAGTTGTGGATTCTTCATTTCCTTGTCTAGAAATGATCCTTCAGCATGTTGCGAATAAAAAATGATAATAATGCTTACCACATCACATCCTTGATAACAGTTGGTAAAGAAACCAAAGTACTTCTTTGGTCAAGGATTCAAGACCATTCATTTACACATAAGTTGTGGTTGATTTTTAAAATGATTTTATAATTTTTTTTATATTCCTACTTGAAAGATGCAAAATATAAATTAAATTTTCATCCATTATGAATATATCCTTTTTTATTTATTTTTTTCACTATTTCTTCTGCTTATTGAATCTTATTTAAATTGATAAAATATCCTTCTTATTTAATTAATTATGTCATAGAATTTAAAGTGAGTAAAGTTTGTGTGTTTTTACTTTTTAATCCTTAGAAGTAATCTACAAAAATGAAGAATATACTTATTTAGTACCTCTCATTCCCTATGGATCAGATATCTATCTTAAATTAAGTTTATACATATTTATATGTTTTAACAAAAGGTCTAAACGATGTCCAAAAATTTAAATAATTTGCAGAATGTGCCAAAATTCTTACAATTTGACACTCAAGATATAAACTTAAGTGATAATTCTTGCCTATGTAATGAGACTATTATATATGCATTTAAAATCGCACAACTTTCTCTTATCTCTCTACTTTGACCAAAATTATTGTATGACGAAATCGGGCTATTATGGAAAGTTTTTGAAGTACATTTTTAATGGAGCTAAACCTTAAAAACCCATTTGTGAATTTCAGTCATTTTTATCAAAGCAAAAATTCGATTAAGACCATCAAAATAACACAAACCCTATTTATTATATCGAAGGTAGGCAATAAAAACCTTTTACCTACTTCAATCTGAACCATATAACTCCAGTCTGTATATATGAAGAGAGATTTGAAAGTTCATATATTTAATCTATGAATAAGTAAGGATTGTAATACATAATAAAAATTATAAGAATTAATCCTTTTCAATTTTTACATGTATTTTAATCCTTATTTTTCACATAGAAACGTACCCAAAATACACTCACAAGTAATTCGATGCAGTATTGATAGGTCAAAGATCATCACAATAATTATTAGTGGACAATGTTATGATTTAACAGAGGGAAAATTCATCAAATTATTCACTAATTTCATTTTCTAAAATGTTACTTAATGATTTATTGGATACACAGGTGAACAGTGGACCACGCATATGTCACTTTTCTTCCTTCCTGCCCATTCTTTTCCTTTTTTCCCCCATCTCCCTCCTTCTTTCCTCTGTCTGTACTTTCTTGCTTCTTCCTAGTCGCTTCAAGAACCTTTATATTTTCATTATTTTCCCGAATTTATAGTGATTTTGGTAGTAGAAATCTTGATAATCCTCCTCTTTGATACCCATTTTTCTTCACTTCTTTTATTTGTTCGGGATAACCTTTAATGTTCATCAGTCCCATTAATTTATCGAATATTTGTTTATTTAGACTATTCCGATCCATTCTCTTCATATAGCCAAAGAACCTTAATCTTTTTTTTTCATTGATGATTCCAAGTTTTCAATCTGTTCATAAAGCTCATCGTTCTTTTTTAATCAGTATTTTTCCCCCAGAAATTCATTTTCAACCTAAAAAAAACATTTTTTCGGTTTTTCTCCTTTAGTTGATTATAAAATTCTTCCATAGTTTAGTTTGAGCTTTTTTTATTACTACAAACAATCAAAGACAGTTAATTATTTAAAGTAAACCAAATTAAAGGCAGTTTATAGGAAGAAATTTCGAACATTAGGCATTTAAACCCTGTTAGGTGATATCAATGAGAATAAGACCAAGCTGTTATTAAAGACCACTTAATTGTCCATTGATGTACCGAGCACAATTGAGCATGCACAATATTCCCATGGTTATTTCAAGAATCCTTTTTTTTTTCTTTTTTTTTTGTAGCTTTTTTTTATAAAAATAGAATAATAGTAAAACATGAAGATATGGTGGTTTATTCAATAATCAACAGGGAACAATATGTGGCACCAAGTCATTCTCCAGTAATTCTAAAGGAAGAAGCAGGAATCCAGATCACCCGAGATAAAACTTTATTTTACGAGATAAAAGAGGAAAAGCAGATGAACTGTCGGAAATTTTTTGTGTAGAAGCAATAGAAATTTTCGTATAAATGGTTTTTATTTTAATACAATTTATTTATTTTTATCTTTCCTCAAGATAGATAGTATATTTGTGAATGCAATATAAAAAAAAAAAAAAAAAAAAAAAAAAAAAAAAAAAAAAAAAAAAAAAAAAAAAAAAAAAAAAAAACTAGCATCTTAAAGACAGAAACTTCTAGGTACAAACATATATTAATATGTTTATTTTAAACATCTACGTACTCCCCATGTATATTGATTCTAAATGTCTTAATTAAATACATATGTTAACATTTTATAGGGCAAAATAATTTATACATACCTAATTTTTTTCTGAACATTTTTTATAATCCTATTATATTTGTATCGTATAGTGGTTCTTAAACTTATAGCTTTTGAGGACCTATTCTTGAACATTGTTATGTTAATAACAAATATAAAAAAGTCTCAACCATGTACAATTTTTATTATATGATTTTATTATTTGGATAAAAGCAAAACGTTGCGGGCTGTAAAGCTAATGTCTTAATTATTTTGTGGATCCTAGCATAATGGCTAATTGCACTCCCAGAAGTCGGCATATTTAAGAATCTATGTCTTAAATTATCAATTTTATTTATTTACTAGAAGGGTACTCCTTGTCCTAGTGGCGGACCAACAGCCATTTTACAAATTACATAATTTCATTTAATTGTACTACTTGCTGCTCAAATTGTAAAACTTGCATTACATGTATTCTGTATTTCAAATTGAATTATTTTTTATCAAAAAAAAACAAAAAAACATTTTTCGTTCAAATGTTTTGTCCAAAATCTTTATTTTGTATTAGGAGAGTAGGAGGCAATAGGAACTTAAAACATGTGCAATTAAATGAACAGCTGTATATTTTGTAAAATAATCATTTAATAAGTTGAGATCCTGTTATCTTCTACTATTCTAATATTAAAATATGAAAATTACTAAAAACTCTTTTATATAATAGAGATTATTTTTTGTTTTTAAATCTTTGTCCACCCACACCAGTCTTCTCTATCTGCCTATCTTAATATACTGCTTTCTAGTTTGCTGTATATAGCTCTGCAGCGTCTTTATTGATTATATCCATTCAACTAATTTTTGGCCTCCTATGTGGTCTCCACTACTCTAATATTTGTTTCAAAGCTGCGATTGTAACATGTCAAGAAAGTCAGATAATTGGAGACTATTTTTAGATTTCATGGTAAGATGTTTTTCTTTTCATTGGAAAGGATTACCAGCTAGAGAACCAGAAGCTATGATGTCAGGCATAAGAGTTGGTCATATCTCTGTTTCTCTCAGGGTGAGGATGTTATCCTTTACTAATGTACGTGGAATCCCTTGAATTTTTTTTTTCTTTTTGATTGCTCTTTACTTAACATTGAATAACATCGGCATAGATGGGGAGAAGGTTGTTTTAGAGGTACAGCCAGAGTGGGAAGGTTGAGATTCATTCTGTGGGTCCGCCACGAAATATATTTTAATCTTCTGGCTGGATTCGAACCGGTGTCACTTGACTCAAAAATGTTAAAGTTTTCGCTTTCATATGCTCAGTCATCACATCATGAAATTCCTTGAGTTGTATTGATAAAAATGAAATAGGTTCTCTACATGAGTGTGTTTTTGGAAGTGTCTTAACCTGCTCTACTACTGATGGTCCACTATATTCCCACATGCCAAATTTTGTTTTTTTAGAGCTATTAACAAAAATTCTTTAAGATATTCCTGAAGTCAACCGATTGTATGTGCAAATCCTATCTTAAATTATATCCTTGATTAAGTTCATATTTTTCAAACAATCCTACATTTTTTAAAGTAAACTTTTTATTCCTTCAACAATCCCTAAATATTTTTTTCAGGATAAAGATTTATGAAATCTCAATTGATTCTTTCATCTGTACTGAACATTGTTTTTAGGTGTGAACGTGCGCATACCTCTTCTCAATTACCATATGCACAGTAAGATAGCAATTATTGATGGATGGAAAGTGATGGCAGGTTCTGTAAATTGGACTGTTCAAGGAATGTACGGCAACTGGGACAATCTCGTCATCACTTCACAAAGAGATATTGTGAACGATGCTATGGAGACTTTTGATCTTATATGGTATAATCCAAGCACTATGATGTTCAGTTAAAATATTTTAATTTATTTTAAATTTTATTTTGAAATATTTCTTTAATTAATAATGTCAAGTTCCTATTGTTCTTTGAATGTCTGACTTTTTAAAAATTATATTTAGAAATTTTAATTTTTATCCCAGTTATATCTTACAATTATATTTTAATTTGTTGATATTAGAAAAGTATTACTTTTGAATTTTTACTGTTTTATCACCCAACGGTGTTCTACTTGTCTCATTCCTCAGGCTTTATCAGTTTCAAAATAAACTTTTAACAAAGCTGTGATTTTGTGATATTGATTTAACTGTGTTAAATGTACTTTTAATAAATTTTTTATGTTTCTAGCGATGTCTAATTTTTTTTTTATTTCCCTTCCAGGAGTAGCTTTGATGCAAACACTATAATATACAAAGTTCCTAATAGGAAAAAGTACACAAAACATAAACCATATAATTCAAACAATAAATATCAGCAGAAGAGCTCAAGATCTAATTATAATTATTATCAAACTAATAATTATTAGTACATTGTTATAATCTTTTTAAGAGAAAATTGATCTCAACTTTATTATTAACTGCTTATGGATGTATGGACACTGAACCATTGTAATTTAAGATGTACTGTCCAAGCACAAACCTTTAATTTTTTAAAAGCATTATTAACTGATATCTTTCCTACATGTTGAGTGAGAATGGTTGAAAGAGTTTTGATAAAGAGATGGGTATTGAATGTGAAAATTGAAAATTAGACAATATAATTAATTAATACAACATGAAAATTATAAATAATCACTGTAACTGAATTTTTAATGGTGTCCATACGTTAGTGGTAGTGTATATATATATTAATTTAAATTTCATTTTTAGACAAAAGAAAATTACTGTTTTTAGTTTTTAATATTTGCTTTCTTTTATAATTTTCTTATGAAAGGATTGCTAAGTCAATCTAACATTCAAGGCATATTGGACAATACAATAAAATTAACATGGTATAGGTATTTATATATATATATATTATATATCACTTTATATAATGCCATGATATTATTAATGTTTAAAAAATTGACATTTCATTGTGAATTTAACTGGATGAGCAAAAACTGTACATAAGACTTTATTTATATCTTATAAAGTAATTGTATATTTTGAATGAAAACACAAAATAAAAAATATTGAAACTAATTTCAGACTTCAGTTATTTTTAATAGATAAGAAAGGTATTTTATAGAATACACCAGTGGCTTTATAGGTAATTTCAGTGATTATTAATATGATATTCATTGATCATATGTTAGTGAATGAATTGTGAAGAATTTTGTAGATCCTAGGACTAATGTATACACTCAAATGGTGGAGGCAATATCAAATACCAAGCAAAAAGCTGGATCAGAAAGGTGGGTGGGATCCAACGATCAACAATGGACTCATAATTATGTGTTGTCCTCTGGATGCATGAATGCCACAATGTTTAATATTTTTGAAGTAATGTTTCAGAACATTTTGGAATATTTTCCCAGAGTAAAATTCCTTTAATATTATTTATTATAAATATCACTTGTTTTATAATTTGTGGATAAAATGGATATTTCAATAACCTATAAATATATATGAGTGGCTTCATATCAAAGGCAAACATTTTCCATTTTCAGAAAGTGGAGAAAAAGCCAATGTTTGTTTTATTGGTTCAATTCAAACTGTTTCTGATGAATTTGTTTAAGAATTCTGAAGTTGATTTATGAAAAAAAAAATCATTAGAATTGGATTTAAATAGAAGATATGTTACGAAATTTGTCTTTTTCTCAACTTTTTAAAAATGACAGATATCTATGTTTGGTATGAGGCTACTCATGGTAATCATCACTGCTGTATCCGAAAAATAACGGGTGTATCCATTCTATAAAGTACTTGAAAGGTTTTTAAAAAATATAAATTAAAAGAAATAAAAACTACTACCTTTTATATATATATAGCCAAAGCAAACAATGTGTGCTGAAATTCCTCTGTGTCTGGCATCCAGTTTGATTTCCAGTCAAGGAAGGTTTGGTCTCTGCGGTAGTACAGGAAGTAATCTAACACTAAATCAGGAAATATAAAAATTTAACCTTATAATAATAATAATAATAATAATAATGATAAGGCAAACTAATGGTTCGATGCCGATGTTCTTTATATACATACCACCCTAATCACTCCACTGTTCTCCTTTAAAGCCCTATTACACAATCCTCCCCTCATTATTTTGAACTGCCTCCATGAATGTTTACTGTTATTTCAGTGCTGATAACCCTTTCAAAGAAATATATTCATCCTAACACTCATATATAATATGATGGTTAAGTAATGTAACCTCCAGGGTATTACTAATCCAATATTAAAAAAAGTATTCCTTACTTCCCATTTAGGCTTTGAGTTTGTGTAATACAGGAGGTGGTCTAAATGGCCATGCCCTGTTTCAAAATAAGGAAGTCTGTGATTCTCCTGAGGTCCTCCAATTTTCTGTAGAGTTTTGTTTCAAGCGATTTCGGCGCTTTCCAAATCTTCCTTCTAGCCTCATCAAGAACACAACTCTGAAGAACATGCTCAGCTGTCCATATGTTCTTGTTTTAGGTTAATTTTTTTAAATATTATAAAATGAGGCTGTTCTTATTTCTTCACCATATTTATTTCAATTTACTTAGCTATATTTCAGCCAGTAAGCCATTTTATCCAACCATGCTTGTTGCATGTAGTACAAAGTCAGACTGGAATTGAAATAAATATGGTGAAAAAATAAAACAGCCTTATTTTATAACATGCTCAGCTGTTTTTTCTCCCCAACCACACTTATACAAGAGACTATTTCCAATTCTGAATTTTGTTTAAAGGAAAACATTCAGCCCATTGTGGTTAGTCCTCAGTCTGAATATCATAACTTGATCTTTTCTGTTTATTTTTTGGAAGGGGTCTTAGGCGTTGCTGTGATGATGTTTGATGCTCCATCTTTGGCTTATCGCAGCTTTGTTCATTGTCTTCACCTCATCCAGCTAGAGTCTGAAATCTGTTTGCTGTTGAAGAGAATCGATTTTTTGTTAATTTGTCAGCTTTCTCGTTCCCTCTGATACCACAGTGTGCAGGAATCCTTTATAAAACGCAATTTTTTTGCTAATGTAGTTAAGCTTCTCAAGTTGTGATGCCAGTTCATAACACCTTTTGTGCCATTTTGTTTTTTAGATTACATCTAGTCTACAATTTCTGATCAAGCAAAGTTTTTTCTTTCATTTTGAGGGGTTAATTGAGCTTTGCGGTCCAATTGATTGATGAATGACCATGATATTATTGAGCTTATTTTTGTTGATTATGTAGAAAACTAAAACCTTTATTATCTAACCGTCTTGGTTCTACTGGTCAAGTAATCAAGGTCTACCAAATCTGTTACAAACTTCATGAGGCTAGGACCTCAGCTTTTTCATATGCTGTTCAATAAACACAGAAATAGAGATAAGATAAAGATTATTTATTTAACATTTTTATGTACATAATAAACTTTTAATTTATGAGACAATGGGTGAGTAAAAAAGAAAAAGTAGTAAAGATGCAACCGCATTAGTAATGTGCGGATAGTGGAGCATATCCTATTATATCGTGTCACCACTAAAAAATGGTATTCTAAATAGAGATAATGAATAAATGAAGACATTTTATTTACAATAATGGCATGTGCAATTCCCATCCATACTTCCCCACTCTAAAGGTAAAACACCCCGTTTGCCAGAAAGGCCCAGATGGGGTGAGACATTCTACATATTGAACAAAAAAAGAAAATTAATAAATACATACTTCGATTATCAATGAGAAAGATTATGATTTTGGAAATGGGCTTTAAATAGAGAAAGCATTACTAGATCTGATCAATATAATAATAAAACTATATATGACTTCTGAAACATATATTTTTTAATACCTGTTAAAAATGCCTAGTACTTCACAATATGCTGGAAAAAAAAATAAATAACATTAATATGAAAAATACAAACATATAGATAAATAAGAAATATACATTAATTAAAAACAGAATAATAATATATGGTTTTCTATAATCTAAGAAAATTTAATGACTATTTTAAAATGAGGACTTAGGGATGAAGGGGAGACTTTAATAATTACCAGGAAATAATATAGATAGAATAAAAAAATAACTAGTGATGTTAGAAGATTAACATCCAGTAATTACAATCTAATATCCAGTAAATATAGATATCTTATGGGATCATACAAAGCTATTGATCAGCCATATAAGCATGCTTTAAAGATATTCGGAGACACCCATACTTGCAGTTTTCAACAGCACTTTTCACAGCAGTTTTCACTCTTTAATGTAGAAATGAAATGACAAGAAATTTTTATTATATACTTTTTCCTGAAAGAGAATTTGTTTAAAATTCATTCCAAGATTTTTGACTGATAATAAGAATTTGATTGGGTTTTTATTATTTAGAAATAGAAGGTGACTGAAGCCAATTGAAATCAATATCATTTTCACTGCATGTAACATCAGCATATCCAATTGTAATCTTCTTGAATTTCTCATTAAAATACACAATTGAAAGAAATAATAATAATTTCTTAAACCATAACAGAAACTTATATGTGTACACAATTTCTCATGAAATAACTATCCCGTTATCTTCGTGAGGCAAAATGACTCGGCATCTTTAGAAATGCTACCAATCACAGCTCGAGTAAAAAAACACAAACTGAAAATTCATTCAAAACATAATTGAATGTATCAAGCTGCTGAACATGATAATGTACATGAAAGGCTGATAACAATAAGGAATTAAAATAAGATACATTTATATACGAAAAGCAATTATGATACCTTTGAATATTAAAAAAAAAATAGAAACACTACTTAAATTTATATTAAGATGGTTGGATAGAGATGTGGTCAGTAACAACATATAAAAAAAAAAAAAACCTGTACCACCACTACAATCCATGAAGGCTCAGGATCAGTACTATTTATATAGAGAGCACTGTTTCTTGGTCTAAGATTGTGCAAGGAGGTGATTTGACCGAGATCACGCTCAACCGCCAGGTTTTCCCCCTTAATTAATTATTATACCCACTTTATAGAGTCTGGGTGTGGCCTTGGAGTCTACCTACCCAGGGTTCCTTCACGGCCAATGAAGCAGAATAAATAATTTTTCTGCCATGAGCCAGGATTCGAACCTGGGACCTTTAGCATTGGAAGCTCTGTACCGTACCACTAATAATAAAATATACAATAATAACAACATCCAACATCTTCATAAGTATCCTACCACATTAATAACATATACTGTTATAATGTATACTACTGTATAATTTAAAAATGTGTTTTATTTCTTACACAACAAAGCACAGTTATCGTAAGTTCTTAATGTTTCATAACGAATAGCTAAATGTATTCATAATTATCATGCTTCCAAAAACATACTTGATTTCTCATGGTACTATTAAACAAATGGTGATTACCTTCAACATTCTTCAGATCTAATGCTAATATTTGCTGGTTTCCAATATTTAATAAATCTTAGGCAACAGCTATTGTTTAATATATATATTTTTTAAAAATGAGATATAGTTTCTCCATCAGAGTTACTTTCTTCCCCATGTAGTAGTCCAATTCGCTCTTACATTTTTCATGGTTTGAATATCTAAATTTAAAGTGATTATTATTTTTCATCTATTTTATCCTACATTTCTGTAATATGTTTGAAAATTATAGACATGTAAATGTTCCTCCGAGTTCACTGTCCTTATTTTTAATTCACAAGCAACATTAAACTTTTCCTCAATGGCTTTTATTTATTTATCATATACTTATCTTGGAAACTGAAGCTCCTAAGCTGCATATTTTTAAAAATGTAATTTATTTCTTCTTATCATTCCTGTCTCTTAGTTCAATTTAACTCCTAGATTTATCTTGGTCATATCAGTTTTTCTTATTCTTTAAAATTGTGCTAGCTATGCTAATCACCAATTTAGCGAAAAATTGGAAAGTGAACTATACAAAAGTAAAGTTCTGACAATAACAATATCGCTTTGATTATAACAAGTAAATGAAAATGGAAAACCAGAAGCTTATTGTTAAATAACCTTTATTTTTCACGTTTCTTCTTTATATTATATAAATATTACCCTCCGAAAGTTATTTTCAGGAATTAATGCAATGTAACTTAATTGTTTATTGGAATGCATTTCTTAAATCATCAAAACCTGTGAAAAGCAAATTTTACTAGAGTTGTTGGAGGATCAAGCAAGTCCTTACAAAAAATGTTGCGGCTATTGAAAGTTTATAACTACAGGAAGATACACAGAATGGAAGTAGATAACATGATATGTTATATAAATTTTAATCAATTAAGAATTATATTTCAATATGATCTTAGGCACAAAAAAGTAAGAATGATATACTTAGGAAATTTTTTCTAGGATCTTTGACAGTTAAATAGTTTAATAATCAAATGGTATAAAATTAAAAAAAAAATCATTAATTTATTTATTGAAGTCAACAATGTTAATAGCAAAAATTCACTTATGCATATCTTATACCATCATACAGTATTACATTAAACATACCTCATTCATTTGTTAATTTTCTAAAGCTCTCAATAGCAACTCATATATAGTGACTGACCTTCTCTCACAACTGATTACAATAAATATATCCACTAGTAATCATTTCATATGATTATAAATTGAGTTGTACAGTATCAAAGCCCCGTAACACCAATGGCTGAAAGGGGAGTCAGCCAAAAATTAATAGATCCCAACAATAAATGAATAAAAAGTTAAGGTTTTAAATCAGAACTCTTCAGATCCATCGTACCCAATTCAGCCATTAGAGTGTGGTCTTTCTTATTTGTTGGTCATAAAACTGTAGATAGTTTCACAGTATATTGGCACTGGATATGGAATTGCTGTTATAAAAAAAAGTTAGCATCTGAGTGAAAATATCTATCAAAATTAACTCTTAAACTATCATTTAGCTATTACGAAGGACTATGACAATAAAGATTAGAGAAAAGAAATAAAACAAAATTTCTACCATTCAGTTTCTGGAAGTTTTCAATCTTCCTTACCACAAAATGGGCTTGATAATTAAATCAGACCAAACTCTCATACAAAATAGTGATTTCAAATTTAATTAAGCATGTATTGAAACTGAAAATTCACTATTTCAAGACCACTCCAAATTAAAATTTTCATTTGCCTAAAAATCAATATTTGGTAATTTTCTTGTCCTAATATGAAATTTAGAAAAATGTAAAAAATGTGTTTCTGTTCTAAAAGATTCAGTTATACTAAAATCATAAAAATAAAGTATAAAACAAAGTATTGTAGCCTGTGAATGAGCCCACTTGGGAATTTGGAAAACTACACAACCTGTTGATTATAATTCAATAATACATCACAATGATTGAAAGATTCATGTTAAGTTGCTGGGTTGGATAGTTAATCAATCCCTTGAAAGCTGAAAAGCACTGAACTTACTGGAAAGATCTGAATGGCAGAATAACATTAATGTCTGAGAGTATTGTGTCACGTGATATTATTTACACAATGTCCGGATTGTGGTCTGCCCTTGTATATTTGGGTTTTGAATGTTTTCAGTGGAAGGATTCAGATAGATAATGAATGTGGGTAGTATAGGCATGACCTTACCTTTATGATTAATATTACTAATACTAAAAAGAATTCGTCTAAATCTTATCGGTTTTAGTCATCACCGTGATTATATTTGCTGATAAATTAAACAATGTATCTTTGTTACTTTTTTATATACTCTCAAATTGATTAAACCTGTGTTAATAGAAAAAATTATTAAGATCCTTGGATCAAATATAATCTGTCTGTGTTTTGCAAAATTTATTTTTAAGTCGATAATAATTGAGAAATTAATAGTAAAGAGTAAAAAAATAAAATTATGTTAACAGAATTCAGCTTGCTTGCTTCAAGTTACAAAAGAGACCTATGGAAGTTGATTTATATAAATGTTTATTGTAAAAATAAATCACATAAGTCCATGCAACCTTATTTGTTAGTGGGCACTCTGCTCAAGTTTTCCTTATTATTATTTCTCATAAACATAAAATTAATTACGTAGAAAGAACCATTTGTCCGATAAGTTATTTAAAATTGTGTGAGCAAATAATATTATTTGTTTCTTTAACAAAAATCAGGAAAAAACACAAGATAAACTATCTTCTGCTTCTTATCACTCTGTCAAAATTTTGTTCCTAAAATTGAACTAATGTATCTTTTAAAAACTTTAATTGTTGTAAATTTTTTTAAAATTTAAAATTAAATTTCTAAATGTACTATAATTTTTCACTAGACGTACAAAACTATTAAGACCAAATATAGGAAAATCCAATTTGTACACATTTACTATATATGTTATCGGTGCGCCATTGTTAAGTAAAAGAAGTAAAGTAAAAAAATAAATAGCTTGTCGATAGTTATTTTTTAATATAAATTATGAGGATGATAAATATTGAGGACTTTCAAGCCCAGATTGTCGATGTTTCCACCCAAGCATGTGGGTCATCAGCAGGGCTAAAAATAAAAAATTATATCAGAGCATCGGCAAACTATCTTTATTTTCTTAACTATATTAAAAGTTAAATAATTTTTTTTTAAAGAAATCTAGACTGAAAATACAGATAAATGCCATCCTCATAACTAATTGGTAGTGTAAAAAAAATTGTTCATACTTATCTCACTTTTTTTTCCCCTTAAACCTAAAAAAAAAGGAAATACTTAAGTTTTTATATTCTTTCTTCTTCAAAGGTGCTTTCTTTTCAATAAGTTCTTCAGATATTGTGATACTACAGAAGATAAGAAAATAGATTTTCATAGAGAAGCTGTCACAATCTCATAACAAACACTGAAGTAGTTAAAAGAAAAATCATAAAAATACTACTCGACGGTTCATCCCTCATTGGGATTATGTCATTTAAATAATTTAGTGTCTTTTAAGAGCTTGATGCTAAACTAAACAGATTGATATATCCATTCCCTCCGTTTTTTACCATCCTTAGATAGTTGCATATCTTCTGCTAGTAGTTCCAGGTTTCTTTTTCTTCACCAAACAATGGTTTCTTGTCATTCTAAATACAACTACAATCTACTAAAATTTAAAAATCATTGATTTCTTCTATCAAAACCTCAATTCCTTTTCCTCTACACCCCACCCCTCATTCAGTCATTTCTTTTCAGCTCAATGCTCCTTACAACATTAACATAATCTCTTTTATTCAATTATTTTTAAAATTTATTTACAACTATGACTAAACGACCGACCAGTTGCTAGTTAATGTGATAAGAGAATTTTTGAATCCTGTTCTCCTCCACTAGTGTTAGCTAATTTCCTCCATCTTGAACCAACCATCATCATTTAATTTTTCAGAGCATTGCTAAGAGGCCATTTCATAATTCACACCTTCTACACCATTAGGTTCTGTAGGTTGGAAGAAAGCCTCTATCAATATATCTGGAGGTCCTCCTTCTTGGCAACATATTTGATATGTTATAATTTCACGACTTTTATTACATAAGATACTTGAAACATGGCATAAATGTCTTGACTATAATGACCATGCTTTCTTTTCTCAAACTTCCATTTCTTGTTTCTTTAAATTTGAAGTACTTAAACTTGCAGATCCATATGAAAGTACAAGCTGGATAAATGTTTTATACAAATGCACTATGGTCTCTCTTGATATTACAATTAATTTAATATTTAAAGTATTAAATGAATAGTATTATTGTATATATAAAAATTATTTTAATAAATCCAGGTCAATCAACTATTAATACTCTAATGGGTTATCAGGCCCACAATAAATAATATATAATTTTTCTTACTAATGAAAAAAATCACTTTTATCCTAGAAAATAACTAACTGATTTTGACATAGACCAGATGCATACTCATATATCAAATATGAAAATTAACAATAATTAACATTAAAATTTTATATATATAGAACTTTTTTTCAATGAACCTTCAAGTTTGATATTAAATTAAAAGTTTTTAACATTTTATCCACAAAATATAACTGTAAGCCAAAGCCTGAACACGTTTGTAGTTGATCATTTAAGATTTTGATTTATTTAGTAGACTAACTGGAAATCTTAGCCAAAAATAAAAAAATGTTTTATAAAACAATTAAAAACAGCATTTATTAATATATTTCAATATATATAGATTGTTCTATTAGTAACAATTAAAAAATTTCAAATAAAACAAATGTTTAAAACATGTTTACTACTGGGACAAAAGAAATATAAAGATAAGGAATTTCAAGTCCATAAAACGGAATGATTTTATTTTCCAATTATAATTCCAGAGAAATTTTATTCAAAACACTTGTTTTTCTCATACAAAATCATTTTTGGAAAATTTCATGACAAAGCACATAAGTTAAAATTTTACAGTCAAATTTTTAAATACGACGAGCGTTTTACAAAAATATCTCCTATTTCCTTAGATTAATGAAACCATAAAATAAGTAAAATTTTAAATTATGGACTTTAAATATTTCGCCTATAGTCATGACTTCAACTTTAGAAGGATCATTTACAATATTGACAGTATGAACACTGTGAATCAATAGAACAAATTTACTTAAAGAAAATAATATAATTAGAAACACTTATAACACATAATTATAGTGATATGATACAGTTTGATGAACTTATTAATAAAATCACTCCGTAATAAACTATAAAAAAAAAAAAACCATTCTGATTTGAATGTAATTCATCATTTCTGTAAGTTTAAAAAAAAGAAAAAGATGTATATAAATATATGTATATGCTTTTGAAAATAAAAAATAAAATGAACACATATGTGAAATCCATTTAACATTTACTATGCTCAAACTAGTGAAATAGCGAGATCTATCTTAAAATATTCTTATCCAAAACTTTTTTTTTATTTCAATTTTTTTTTATTTATTATTATAGAATAGAATATTCTGTTTGTAGAAACATTTTGTTCTTTTACACAAATGACAATCTTCTCAGAACAATTACAAATCCACAATATATACATTTTATATATACAATTGCTAAAGGATGCTGAAAAGATGTCATACTAAAAAAAAATTAAATAAAAAAAAAGAAGAGAAAAAAGAAATAATAATTTACAATATCTTAATGAGTTTACACGGGAAAAAAAATTAAATTAAAAAAAAAATTATAAAAATGGTTTCATTATATATAACATTTGTTACATTAATATTTACAATTCAAAATACTATATACAAAGAGAAATATGATATATATGTCCAGGCTGAGCAACAAAATAATTTGTACTGCAACGGTGTTTAATTGAGAGTTCCTCGGCAGCCCTGAGCACCACATAGACATGGAATTTTTTCCTCTTCAATCGGAAACTTATAGTCGTAAGTTATCTCTTCATTAACATTTATCTGTTGCTTTGAATAAATAACAATTTTCTTTTGACTATCTATTGTAATAATCTTTGCATAACAGTTTGGATTACAACTATGATTAATAAATCTAGCAAGGTTTCCACATTTTGTCGCGTCTATAATGGTATCAACATCTATTCTAAACAGATAAGAACTCCCTATGCCTATACTTTCGTACTGACGTTCCCTAAGGTCAGCAACAATAGGTCGAATCATCTGCCCTACATACTCAATAACCATTTCATCAGCTGCAATCGGTTCCATGGCAAACAGACCCCAATCATGAATAGAAGACTTAGCAAATCTCAGATGCTTCTTTCTGAACTTGAGTACATTGAACTTAAGAAGGTCAGAATCAGTGTCAGATCCAAATGCTGTAAGCAGTCTTCTCTGATTACTTCTGGCTTCACGGGATATTGCCACCATTTTACCGGCAGACTGTTTTTGAAGAATGTCTTCAGGTTCCTCTATCACAGAAGCAGCATGTACTGCATGATGTTGAAGTCTTCGTTCCTTTTCTTTAGAATCAACTTTATAGTAACCTTCTGTTCTAGCACAACCTGTTTTATGTACCCTTTCATCTCTTCTTCTTCTTTTAGGAGGAGGTATTTCAGTCGCAGGATGATCTACCCAGTGAGTATCATTTAACCAATAATTCTGCATATCATCAGCAAGTAAATGTTCATAACTCATTTTCAAATACTTGATATCTTCCCTGTCGATTCCTTTAGTTAAAAATTCGTATAAAACATTCATTTCTCCAATAATGTCTCGTTGAAGGTGAGTTTTCTTGACAGATTTTGGAGGGAATTCATGCCTAGGTATGCGGTTTTCATGAATTGGTTTAAGTGGTTGCTTCTTCCTGTCGACGACATAATCATGATCAAACATTTCATGTGGGATAGTCTCAGTGGAAGGTTTTGCAGCATAAGAATGTTCGACGTTCACATGACTGTCAGTATCAGCAGTGCTTTCTTTCTCCTCTTCTGATTCAATTTCTTTCGGTGGTTTTGTCCTATCAAAGTCTTCTGAAATATCTGAAAAGCTGTCAACATCTCGGTCAGGAATAGGAGTTAGCAAACCAGATGGCAAAGGCTCATCAAGGTCTTCAAACGTGAGATAATCCAAACAGCTCCTTCCAGATGTTGATGATTCATCAGAACTAGATTCTTCTTCATCCTCACTAGATGATGAGCTTTCACTACTGGAAGATGATTCTGAACTGTCACTACTTTCACTGCTGCTAGAACTACTACTGCTACTCTTTTGACTACTAGCACTGCTACTACCGCTGCTGCTGCTACCAGATGGAACAATTCTTTGTCTTGTAGTTATTCGTTCTTGATCAGATGTTATTTCTGATGGTGGTGCTTCATCATCTGACCTCTGAACAATTTCTTCTTGATCACTGACATTGCCCATTTCTGAAGATTCGTCAAGAACAGGAGATGGCGCTTTTCTTTTACGTCTAAATGAAGGAAGTTTAGGAAGAGATGCTCTGAATCCTAATCCAAAAGAACCTAATGACATAGGATCTAAAGACTCCATGCCTGATTCTATAATCGAATTCATCAGGATAGGACCACTAGTTTGATTAGCTTCAGACTTGGTTGGAGTTCCATCACTGTTGCCTTGTTGTTTAGACATTCTTTCACTTTCATCCCACCATCTGTCAAAAGCTTTAAAAGCTGTGTTTTCAACCATCTTCTTATTAAAATCCTTCTTCAATATCTGTTTAAGCTCCTCAGTAATTTTATTTAAAACCGAACGGATCGTAGCATCATGTGGACTAATAGGAATGTTACGCTGTTGTGAATTGATTGCATGAATATACCCAGGGGGTGGATAACTGGTTGGAGGACGGATATGAGCAATGTGAGGAAAAGGTGTCACACCTGGACTGAAGTAGGCAGCAGGATAGCCGGCTATCGTTGGAGGTCGCCAAAGGTACATATCAGTAGGTGCATAAAGGTGCCCAGGTGGAGGATGATTATAGAAACTAGTAGTAAAACCATTGTAATGCGTAGGAGCTTGGAACATACTGTCAGTAGGCTTCACCTCTTCAATTTTCGGTTCCCCAGAACTCAGGCTCGATAAGCTCATATGATCATCATCCTCTTGATCTTTTTTTATAGGTGACATTTTACTAACAAGTTCAATAAGAGGAGAAGCCAGTTTAGATTCTTTACCACCAAGAATTTCATCATCACTTGAACTTATTTCACTATGTAAATAATTATCTTTTATAAAATTTTTAGATTTCTTTTCTAAGAAGGCAGTAGTTTCCAACATTTCTTTCTGTTTCGCAAGTCTAGATTTTTCAATAGCCTTCTGATGACATTCAAGATATATTTCCAGGGAAAGAAAAGGAGAAGGTGGTGTCGACAATGGCTGTTCTTCAGTGTCAGAAGGTGATCTGTCCATTTCTTCAAGTCCAGGTGGCATTGGAAGAGACATTCTACTTGCAATAAAATTTTCTGTTTCTGTAGATAGACGTTTATTTCTTTTTGTTTCTTTAGGCTCATCATCTTCTGACTCACTATTAATAATCTGAAGAAACGGAGGATTTGCACCACCTACAGTTTTTTCCTTGAGTAACATTTCTATTCGTGTATCTAAATCTAAGTGTTTAGGTTCTGGAGAAGGTTCTTTTTTTCTAGGCTTTTCTAATTCAGTCTCGGGTGGAGGTTGTGGAGGCAAAGACGGTAGAGGAGGAGGTGTGGGTTGATTGACTTCCCATGTTCCAATCTGACCTTCAGGCTGTGGCCAAACCCAATGTTGTGGATGTAACGCGATATGCTGTGGGTGAGTAAAAGCTCTATAACTGTAATTAGCAGGATAATGGTGATTGTAGTCATAGGCTATTGGAGTACTGCTTGGGTAAGGATAATCTTTCATGTAAAGCCTATCGTTTGTGTAGTTTCTAGGACTAGGCGTAACAGAACTACTATCTCCAGAACTGGGTGTGGCATAATCAATAGTATAGTGCTTATCGTCCCTCTCTTCTCTTATTCTATCCCTCTTTGGCTTAGGCTTTATCATAACTTTTGGTTTCTCCTCTTCTTTCCTTCTATCTTCAAGCTGCGGCTCAGGTTCTGGTTCTTTTACTGGCTTCTTCTCAGTTGTCATATCCGTATACATCCTTCGGCACTCAGTCCCAAATGGATCGAGGAATACCTTAACTACTTTACCCATTACTGATGTTTCATTTAACTTCTCAACGCATAATTTCGCACCTTGCACTTTCTCAAAAATGATTTTGGCTAGTCCAAGATGTCGTTTTGTTTCAGGGTGAAAAAAAATTAAAATGTCTTCAGTTGGCCCATATTTACTAACTATATCTTTTAAAAAGCAACGGTCGATATTATCATTCAAATTGGAAATAGTGACTTCAACAGGAGGAGGGGTTCCTACATAATTCTCATCTATTTTGAATCGTGGGACTGGAAGGTCTATGGGTGTATCCAACTTTGTCCATATTCGTGACAACTGAGATCTTGGATCCCGAACCTGAAGCACCGGAGGATAAACTGAGTCATTAGGAGGTTGTCCGTCATACCTGTTAAAAAAAAGAAGATGGAAATAAAAAATCAAACAAATTTGGATAATCTTTAACACCACAATGTATTGAACACTATACAATCAATGTATATTATTTAAATTGGTTTGGAAATAAGATTGGGTACATCATTTATCTTTTTTTTTTCTTAATTAGATTTAAAATTTTGTACTTCAATTTGAACAATGATTCATAGAAAACAAGCCTTCTTTGAAAATTGAATTACTTCTCCAATCTTAATCACACTGATGTCATATTTTTTTTAACCTAATATAAAATTCTGGACAGATAGATTTTTTGAAAAGAATAATCTCATGAATTAAAATATATAAAAGAGACAAGTTAATATATAATCCACCTAATAAAGTAATGTAATATTATTATAAATGCATATAACTCACAAGTTTCGTTTTGAATAACTTCACCTTTAAAAATGAAAACAATCTGACAAGCTAAAACTTATCGCCTTCATCTTAATCCATCATATTATTGCTCTTTATTTAGAGCAAATATTTATTGTACTATAAAAGTAGAATAATTAGCAATGTAATTAACAATTAAATTTAACACTCTTGGTACAGATGGTCTTTTGGAACGGACGCACCGTGAAAGGATAAGGATCCCTTCCTATTCCAGAGGCTCATACATGGTGGGAATAGACTTTATCAACTCCCATCAGTGACAGCCGCCTCCAGTACCCTATTAGCTTTAACACTTTGACTGTGGACGGGGTATATGCCTTCCCGTCAGGAGTTAGGTCACTGGTACAGACGGGATATACACCTTCCTGGCAGTGAGTTGGGTCACTGGTGCAGCTGGGATATATGACTTCCTGCCTTCGCCGTCGCCACTTAAAGAGGAAGGGGCGAGTCCCGCCTTTTCCATTTGACTTGTGGATTGGTGAGTGAATTCATTAGTCCCCTGTAGCTGACTCAGTGCGGTTGTTCCGGATTCTGACTATTTGGCAGCTATGAGTAGCAGATTTATTCTGAACCCAATTAATGTCCTTTCTCCATTATTTGTGTCATTTACATGACCTTATTATATTTAAATGTTTTATGCATAAAATAAATGTTAATACTTTTTTTTTTTTAATTAGGTTTTGATTGAATGCTGATTTTGGTACAGGTGGATCTCTGTCTGCTAAACAAACAAATGTAAGTTTTCTACATTTTTATTTGCTATACAAAAATTTAAAAATAGCAAAACTTAATAAATATAAAAATAAACAGAACTAAAATGATGCTTTTGTTGTTTTATAATTTTTCATTCACTTAAAAACAATATATGTATTTCATATAATATAAAAATGTTTGAAATTAAAATGAATACAAGTACAATAACAAAATTTATACCTGCTCTATGTTTCAATATGGAACTTTTTAAGCTAAGAATAATAATAATATATACAAAGAAATAATAATTCAAATCCCGCCGTCGGTGTCCTCTTTTAGAAATAATATAATTTAATTTTTATGATAATTTTCAGTTATTTTGCTTTTCAGTAATGAGTAAATAGGCAAGATAGTGAAGTGTTATGGGATTGCCGCTCTAATTTTTCATTGCCGTGTGTGGCCAGGAAGGCCATAAGTTACGTTTATTAAAAGTCAAATAAAAAAATTAAAATGCATTTTTGAAAGATTTTGCAGGATGTCTCAAAATTGTATTTTAAAAAAATTAAAAAAAAAAAGTTTTTTCTGAACGTCTTTTTGGATTTCGGGACCTGCCATCTGGTATATACACTTGAATGAGCTCCTGCAGTCAAAGACTTAAAGATGTTTTCAAATAGAAGTTGTTTAATGAATAATGAAAAAAAATTATCAATATAAAATAGTTAAAGAAATATGCATCCATGCAAGATATTTTTATAAAATAAAGCCCGCATTGAAAGTTTAAGTTATAAAAATAGTAACAAAACTTACTGCTCAAGTTGCAGATTAAAAACATCATTCACTAAATATTTTATACTAATATAATAAAAACTCTGAAAAGAATTTATTATTAAAAATGAATCTTTTACTTAGGATATACCAAGTGTTTCAGGATTAAGTGGCTGAACTGTAAAAATGAACTAAGGACCTCAAAACAAGATAAAAATTTTCTCTAAAGGTATGACCGCAATCGCTTTGTTTAGGAGATGGATTAGATAGAATACTAATATTGCCTTTATCCAAATGTATAAAAACTATTGGTAACATAAGGATTAATACTATTTCAAATTAGCATTGGGAACTCTCAATAACATTTATCAATTTGTAAGAGGCTTTTGCAGAATACTCATCATTACGCCTTTCATTTATACTAATGGTGAATATGGAGATAAGGTGTTTGTAAACGGTTTTTGCAATGGTAATGCAAATGCTGCCCGTCGTAAATATGCCAGGCGATTTCCGAATAGAAGATTACCAAATAAGTCTAAATACCACGTGCTGATGGTATTTTGGCCCCTTCACCCTGTCAACAACAGCCCAAATCACTTTGAACAACACATAATATGAATTTAATGTTTATGTTTAATTACTAAAGTAGTTGGAACAAATAATTAAGTTTTATTTATTTAACATAATGTAAATAATTCATGACAATAAAAATCTTTAGGTGTGAATATCTCCTCCTAAATAAAGCGTTTGTGGACATACCTTCAGAGGAATTTTTTTTTTATTGTTTTGAGGTCCTTAATTGATATTTTCAGTTTCGCCACTTAACCCTGAAACTCCCTGCATAATTTTCATTGTAGAACTAAATTTGATTCTAAAAGTTACAAACTAATTATTCATATCAACTAATAGAGCCTAATATTTATTTAAAATCATTACCTATATATTTTTGTTGAACCTTTGACTAAGAAAGGATCTACCAGAAGCTTGTAATTTCGAAGTTTCGGCTGAGGAGGGGGAGGAGGTGGTGCAGAAACAGTCTTCTGACTTGGTGGGGGAGGAGGAGGTGGTGGAGGAGGAGGGGGAGGTGCATGATGAGAGTGGGAATGAGAATGGCGATCAGAATGGTGATGGGAGTGATGTCTGTCTGAGTGGTGGGAATTGGAATGGTGATGATCCCTTGAATGACGGGATGAAGAGTGGTGATGGTGGTTTTGATGGTGGTGTGATGAGGAGCCACTACTTCGGTGCTCCCTGCGGTGTTCAAAATCCATCCTTTCACACAACCCACCTCTTCAATCTCCGCCTAAAGATTTTCAATTGATTAAAATATTATTAATATGATTGAGAAAAATGTGAGGACTTTATAGAAAGTGAACTAATTTATTTAAATTAATAAGACAAATTTAAAGTTAACAGATTTATCTATAAGTAAGACTTATGGTATAATCATTATGAGATAAATATAACACTAATTTTGATTAATAACATATTAGCAATATAAATGAATATCTCCTAGAAAAATATCTTCACTGTTTCCAACTTTTGACGTTTAATAATCAATAACTATATTTTCATAAGACATATTAAATAGAATACAAGTTTACTTAATACGTCACCAACATTGGTTAAAATATATTGATACAGACTATAAGATTTCTTTATCACATCAATTAATAAACAATGGAATAAATATGTATCTCTGATTTCTATATCATTTAGAATGAAATAATATAGAGACATTGCATATAGAAGTCAAACCATAAATAAACGTTAATATATTTATTTGAAAGAAGTGAAGATCATTCATTACCTTCAGAAGGGATGATGAAAAGCACGTAAATTTCCATTCCATTCAGAGCAAGGGTCGCAACTGATATTATCGCTACCCTTAACTCTATTCTATTTTCATGTTACCTCCACATTATGTAGAGCGAACAAACTGAAAATTGAATTTGTACTTATTACATTTATAAGTGTGTCATGTACACTGAAATAAAAAATTAAAGAATATGCTTCATTAAATAAATATTGTATTGAAAAATCATACATCATTACAAAAATTATCTACAGTAACTTAAATTACTAATTCTGAAGAGGCAAAATACTATGCAGTTCGGATGATCAAATTATTGCTGGAACCATAATTACAATAAAAATAACACATATAAAGAATGAGATATACAAACATCACACTCGCTAGAAAATATATGAGCAGAACATTAAATAAAGGACACAAAATATGATTATAAAGACAATTAGAGTGCTATCAATGGGTTGTTTCTGAATAAGTGTTTTCATATTGTAATATTTCTCTGCTGTTTATTAGTTGTATTATTATCTTAATACATTTGTAAATTTACTGAGTAAAAAGTTTTACAACTTCATTGTTTTCTAAATTACATGTTGACAACAAAAAAGTATTAAACAAAAATGAATTTAAAAATTATAATAAAACTAGCATATTAATACTCTTTATTAATTAATCATGTAAATATCATAGTATCATAACAGAGAGTTATACCATATACGAATTTTTCAATATGCACAAAATATATAGTACTTTTTATGTTGCATTATGTGATTTAAGGCCTGTAAGAATAGTGGTTAGAATTAATAAATTAAGACTTCTAGAAAACAAGAAGAACAAACAATAGAGTTTTACATTACTTAAAACAAGATATTTCTTATCATTTTTCCAAATCTATCACCAAATATTTCTTATGTTTTTTACTTATTTGAGATCTGATGCATATCTTATATGCTGGACCACCACAGCGAATTACTTCTTCCATCTTTCAATTTTAATACTAGTTAAAATATAGAAAGGAAGATGGTTATAACAAGCAAACAGCAAAAATAATCAGCCAAATAGATGTATTGATGAAAATAGGATTTATAGCAACCCCAATTACAGGAGGTTATAATTCGTCAGGTTAAGTTTTAGTTCCATTAATAACAGTAATAATAATGTGACAAATACCTGTTAATATTCATTTATTGAGTAGATAAACAACCGTTTGTAATTAGGCAATACATAAAACTAACTTTTATATAGTACAACATTCAAGAATAATAAACATTTTTAGATGATTATTATTATTTTAATTAGTAGTAGTAGTAGATTTCAAAATTTCTAATGAGTTGCTTGATTAATATAACATATACTGCTATAGTATAATATTACAATTAAAACTAAGATTACCATTAACTACATAAAAGTAATGAGAAGTACAAGAAATGCTATGAACATTCAAAAGACAGAAAAGGTTGGCTGTTTTGTCTCTGTCATAACTATTATTAAAAGCTAACAAAAGGAAAAAATTGTCTTATATTATCAAGAACTTAGAGGACATGGCATAGGGATTTTGTAAACTACTACTTGCATCTACGTAAACCTATCTATTGAACCCGATAAAACAAAATTATGGCTGATAAGCCAAAGTTATAAAACAATACATTAGGAACAGTCGAAATTAATCTTGATACAGGAATTTCCAGTTGAGAACTATCTTAACATAAGAAGTGACAAGGTGTATAACCTTACAATTCATAATCTATAGATGACTTTAAGCTAAAAGTACAAAATATGTGTTATCATTAAAAAATATATAATGACAAAGGTTGAAGTTTTTAATGCCAAACAATAATAGTAAGGTTAGAAACTAATGAATATTACGCAAAAAGTACTTAAAACTAAGCTAAATGAGATTTCCTGAACAATTAAAATACTTTATACTTTTTTAAATTTTAAATGTATACTTACGGCATTCATACGTACCGAATTATCAGATAAAACTTGGCGATCCTTCAAGAAGACACGAAGTATTCCCCCAAGAGGCAGTCAATGTACTGAGTGTTTTTCAGAGCGAAATCCTGATTCCAGCTGCCAAATAATTGTTACCTATTTTCTGTTACTTAATGCATTCTTACTAATAGTTAAATTGACAATGGTTAAATAATTGAAACATATTGTAGTTGTACACAGAGCGAAATCCCGGTTAAAGCTCTAAAATATATTAAGTTAAAAATTTTAGTTATATGAAAATTAACCGCGAATGAAGAAATCTAATATCTTAAAATGTATCCTTCTTAAACCGTTGGATGTTTCATTGTTTTAGCAATATTTTACATTAAATACGATTAAAATATAAACTTCAATCATTCAAAATAATTTTGTTACTGTTTTATTCAATTTCAGTTGGCAACGATGTGGAGTTTGTAATAAGGTTAGTTATCTCCGGAGTTAATCTTGGGATCTGAGTGTTTACATTAAAGAAGAATAATTGTAATGATAAGAAGTGCTGTTCAGATCTTAGAACAGAGCAACTGCTTGCCATTTACGAATAACTTCAGCTGGCTTCAAAATGTGGCGCCGGCATTTTCAATGCATGGTGAACAGGTACTAAGATGTTACTTGGGTTTTATTCCCAACTGAGTTTAGTGATAAATGAAAACGTAGAATATAAATAATTATTTTATGACATATACCTAATAGTGCTGGAAGCAATTTCCAGTGTTCAAAGACATGAGGAAAGATGGATTAAGAAATTTAATTGCTTGAAGTGGTTTTCTTGATGTTTCGTTTTTATTATCAATACCATTACTATTTTTTATTTTTGAAAAAAATATTATATATTATGATATGGCTGCTATGTTCAAGATCACATCGAGAACTCTATAGATGGAATCCCTAGGAATATCATAAGCAGCTAAGTATTGGCAATCATGTTCATGTACATGATCATGGCACACCACACTGATGGAAGAGTGTTAAATATTATGAAGTAGTTAAGTTTCCGACATATAGCTGGAAAACATTTTGATTAGTCAATTGGTGCTTATATTCATTTTAGAAAATAAGTGACCTAGATGGGATTTGGTTGACTTGAACTGCCCCAACCTTATCTAACATAAATATTCTGAGCTCTATTCTACTTTAAGCACACCAGTGACATTATTTTTTTCCCTTTTCCCCTCTAACGTTAAGATACTATTTTGAACCATTGATCATTACAAAGAGGATGAAATACTGAAGATTTCCCTCGATTACAGTATGTAGGTCCGATTTTTAGTTTCTGAAATATTTTAACCCACATCTTCAATAAAAGTAGTTATCAGTTGTTTTTCGATACCAACTTATCTCTTTTCACCTCTCTACCATGGTGTCGCGTTAAGATACAATTTTTAATAATGGCTCACTACAAAGAAGATGAAATGCTGAACATTTTCCTTGTTTACAGTATGCAGGTCTGATTCTTAGTTTCTGAGATATTTTATTCCATATTTTCAATAAAACTTGTTATCAGTTGGTTTTCTACTCTATTTTTCCCTTTTCGCCTCTCTAACTCGGCGTCGTGTTATGATACAATTATGAATAATAATCTATTCTAAAGGGGATGAAATGCTTAATATTTACTTCGCTTATTTACTTCGTCCGGTTTCTAATTTCTGAGATATTGTAATCCATTTGATCAACCAAACTCGATCCCTTTTTCTCTTTCTGCCTCACCAACACAGCATCACTTTAAGATACAATTTTGAATAACAGTTTATTACAAAGAAAATAAAATTATGAACATTTCCCTTTCCTACAGTATACAAGTGCTATTATCGTATGAGTCAATACATGAAAAGCATCCTGGTAACTGAGCGTAGCAAAGTAATCCTCTACAAGACTCTTATCAAAGCTGTATAAGTTATGCATCAGAGACATGGATGATAAGGCAGCTGATCAGGACCTCCTAATATTTGAACGAAAGATTTTAAGAAGAATTTATGGTCCAGTGTGTGTGAATGGAGAGTGGAGAAAGAGGAAAACTCAAGATCTCTACCAGCGCTTTAACGAGACCAATATTGTCAATTTTATAAGAGCAGACCATCTCAGATGGGCAGTTCATGTGGCCAGAATGAGAGACGACATGATCCAAAAAATGGTTTTGGTTGAAATCCTGCATGGAGCGCGAGGAGTTGGAAGACCAAAGTTAAGATGGAGGGACAGTGTGGACAAAGATGCCAGGAAGCTAGGAGTTCGAGACTGAATGGTGGCAGCACAAAGCAGACACACCTGGCGGATGCTGTTTAGTGGAGGCCCCATGACTCGCTTATCGGGTTGTAGAACCAGTATAGATAGACAGTATACAAGTACGACTTTTAGTTTCTGAGATATTTAAATCCAAATCCAAAAACACTTCAAAAAATTTACTGGTGTGCTTAACGTAGAAAAGAGCCGTTTTCTGGGTCCCATTTTCATGGTGCCAGTTCCCTGCTGGTTCCTTTTAGTTGTACGATCGGTCACTTTAGGACACACCACCATTATCTTGATTCCATTTATGGTGTGACCATGAAATCTTGTGCCACCCTTGAAAGTGAAATGATATTTGTACAGTAGTATCATATCCTGTAATGTACAGTTTAGTTGTCTACTTCTACTACAATCTAGTTGTTTTGTGATTCTATCTTCAGTGCATGATGTGATTTTGAACTCATTCTCCATCTTCTAGTGGCCATTCAGAACTAATATCAAGTAATCTTTCTCATTACCCATTACCGTTGAGCTGCATTACAATTATGAGAAGCTGAAAGTACTATTTTTCCTAACACTGGATTTTTGTTTGTAATGAATGCACTGGTGCAGAGCCAGAGCCTTGGTCTAAGTTACAATAAAATAACATTGAGCTTTTTTTTTAAATTATATTTTTATTTCTTATTTGCTCCTTCCGTTCCTTGCCTTTTAGGCTATAGGGAAGTTTCCCGGGACAGGGGGTGAGGGTGGGAATTAATGACAAGAGTGAAAAGCATGAACTAAGAAAAATTGCTTAAAAGCTGTTAAATAAATTTCCAAATTTGCAACACCATTGGAAGCTATTTAACTACCGTCTCAAAGTAATGATAGGCAGAAATAAAATATCTTTAATAAGAGGACTGGGATGGAAATGAGATGATCAAGGAGCAGTTGGCTTTGCCATCATTGTAAACCACCTTCCAACTAATCTTTTTTGTGTTAATAAGGTTTTTATTTAGGTTTTGGATTTTTTTTTGCAGTGAGTTTGTTTTGGAAATTTATTAGCAGCATATAAGAAGTATAAGAATTTGTAATATACTTATTTTAAATATTAAAGTTAAGTATTTTCTTGTTTTAGGTCTCAATTCTTCATAAACCTGAAGAGTTTTATCAGACATTACTTGACAGATGTAAGAAAGCTCAAAAGAGAATAATGTTAGCATCTTTGTATCTTGGAACTGGTCCCTTAGAGAAAGAATTAGTATGTTGTGACAATATACAATTTTTAATATTAATTATTAGTTAGTTATGGCAGCTTTATATCATTATGAAGTTTTTAGGTCCATGCTATTGAGTCTCAGATGGATCAAATAAAAAATCTAAAAGTGAATATCCTTCTTGATGCTAATCGTGGATCTCGTGGAAAGGAGAATTCTCGAACCATGCTTATGCCTCTTGTTAAAAATGAAGAACAATGCAAGGTGTGAATTGTTTTCTAATATTTTTTATTAACATTTTTATTTACAACTTCAAGTATCCTATTGGTAGAGTTTAAATCATCGCCAACTTTTAAGTAACAATGTGAAGCTACTTTTCAGTTGACCTATAAGAAACATTATATTTCACTTCTACTTTTCTCAGTCCTAGTTTTGTATTTATAAGATTTTATTTTTCAATAATACTTTGGGTAAATTAACAAAATTACTCAATTCCAAAAATGCCATTTTTCGCATTGGTTACTGAATCGTCATAAGAGTTTAAATAAAAAATTGGAGAGATTAATGAATTGTTTCATTTGATTCACCTTTGGAGTCCCCGACGTTCCCAGTTGGTATTCCAAGTTGAAGTTGCTCTATTCAGCAGCAAAATTTCCTAGATGTATTATTTTTCTGAACCTTTACAACCAAAAAGCCATCTTACCTTCTTGATTTGTTTACTCCTTGTTGCTCTGTTCATTCGTTTAACACGAGATCCCTGTCCATAAACTTGTTTGTTCCCTCCCACAAAACCGTTTCCTTTAAAAAATCCTTTGTCATAAGTGCTACCTTTTTTTGAAATTCCTTACCTATCTATATATACAATTCCTCTTTCTTAACCACATTTATTCTTCCACCTCCTCAGCAATCAATCTTCGGAAAACATGTAAGAATATAATTTTTGTATTTAATAGCTGTCACCTTCATTTGACTGTTGTCTTACTGTTACTTATTATCAATATTGTTAATCGGTGCAAATATGTGAACACGCTCATATAAATTTATGAATAAGGTAATATGTTTACTTGTACTTGTTTATTTTAATTTTAAGGCTAGTTTGTTATGTTAACTAATTATTCTTTGATTTTCTTATAATGCCAGACAAATGTCACCTTTTTGTTTATTATAATTATTCTTACAGGACTAAATATCCCAGAATAAAATTTAGTTTTCTTTTTTTCTTTCAAAATATATTCATGTTTTCTGTCATTAAAGTTGGATTATTTACAAAAAAAAAAAAAACTGATAAATTCATCATGGCCATAAAAGTTTGTTTGTTATTTATTCTTTCTTTTATTTTTTAAAAAGTTATAATAATTATAATAGGTGCTGCTTATAGGCTTTAGGAAAGAATCTTCAGCTAACTCTTAATTATTCTTTATGTGATATTTTAAATATTTTCATTGTTGATTAAAATAATATAAACATTGTTTTACAGATTTCTTTATTTCATACTCCATCTCTCAGAGGACCTCTTAGATATTTATTACCATCTAGGTACAATGAACTAGTTGGGTTGCAACACATGAAATTGTACCTATTTGATGATTCAATCATAATTAGCGGGTAAGTAATGTATTCATATTTAAATATTTAAGTATATATACACACACAAACATATATATATATATATATTATATGTTATTATATATATATATATATATGTTATATATATGTTATATATATATATATATATATATATATATATATGTTATATATATATATATATGTATATATATATATAACATATATATATATATATATGTATATATATATATATATATATATATATATATATATATATATATATATATATATATATATATATATGCAAATATGGATTGAGGACCTCAAAACAAGAATAAAATTTCCTTTGAAGGTTTGTCCGCAAATGCTTTGTGTAGGAGATATTCACACCTGAAGATTTTCATTGTTACAAATTATTTACGCTATATTCTTTATTTGTTCCAACTACTTTATTAATTAAACGTAAACACTAAATTCATAATAAATGTTGTTCAAATTGATTTCGTTGAGTATTAAGACAGGCTCGCCATCTTTCTTCAACAGCAGCAGTGACAGAATGGCACTGGATATATGGTATTGTATTCAATTATCCTTCTGAATATGGAATTAAGGTCATTGACGCAAACACTGTGTTTAGTAAATTTATCGTTGTTATGAATAATTTACAGTTTTTTTTTTTTTTTTTTTTGCTTATCTCGCCTTATAGCCTATACAGGATTTTCCCGGGCTAGTGGGTGAGGGCAAGGAATTTAAAATCCTCTCCCCCACCGGGACATGAACTCGTACTTGTTTTTAATCTCATAACTTTGGTTATCTGGTTGCCGGGCAACTCTCGGTGCTCTACCCATGCGTTAGTCCATTCGGCCACTCCTCCCCCAGAATTATTTACTTTATATAAAATAAATAAAACCCATTTATTTTTTCTAACTACTTTATTAATTAAATGTAAACATTTAATGGGTCCGCATTTCTTGTCCCCTCTACTCAATGCGGACACATTTCTGGAATTTTTTAATAATATAAATATTACTATGATTTAGTTGAATATATTCCACTATAACTGAGAACAGACATGTAGCTTCAATTAGATGGTTGTTGGAAGAGGTCCACGACTATGACTAAATATTAATTATCCCAATCAATGGATTGGCCATACAGGACCAGTGGCTTGGTCTGTACGCTCTCCAGACCTTACACCACTAGATTTATTTGTTTGGGGTGACATTAAACAAAAAGTCTATGCAAGTCCGGTCAATGACCTTAAAGAAGGATAATTGGATCTTGTGAAACAATAATACATATTCAGTGCCGTTTTGCCACTGCTGCTGTTGAAGAAAGATGCCGAGCCTGTCTTAATGCTCAAAGAAATCACTTCGAACAACATTTATTATGAATTTAATGTTAACGTTTAATTAATAAAGTAATTTGCACAAATAAATAAGTATTATTTACTTAATATAACGTAAATAATTTTATAACGATAAAAATCTATAGGTGTGAATATTCCCTAAACAAAGCGTTTGCAGACATACCTTCAGAGGAAATTTTTTTCTTGTTATGAGGTCCTTAGTTCATTTTTGCAGTTTAGCCACTTAATCCTGAAACACCCTGTGTATGTACAAAATATTTATTTTTAAAAATTGAAAATAGTTTTGAAAATTTGTATCATATTAAATCTTTGTTAGATAGAGCTAATTTGAGCGAAGATTATTTCACAAACCGACAGGATAGGTATATTATGATCAACGGATGCAAGGATCTGGCTGATTTTTATTGGGACCTCATTCAGCATATATCAGATGTTTCACTGGAGTTGGATGGATCAGATAACCTTAAACCTAGGTAATTTAGTTGGTTTTTACATCTATTATTTGTACACTTTGTTTGTATATGAATATTCTGATGGCTAAGAATTCATACTTCGTTACTGCACATGCACTAAAATATTTTTGTGTGAGAAATCATAAATAAATGATTTATTACAGCAGAAGATTACTGAAGGACATTATTAAATAATGATAAAGTTTTCATTTTGATATGTAAAGCAGTTATTTATTTTGCAGATACAAGGTTGTTCTCAGCCATAGACTTTTATATGAAAGGGCTTTGTTCCATTGACATTATTAAAAATTAACTTCCAAACCTCACAGGCTTCTATATTAATAATTCCAAAATTTAAGAACATGTTCAAAAAGCATTATTTAGCAGTTTTCATTAGCAAGAATTTATTGCTATGAAACAATGTATTTAATGTTTTAACTTATATTTTTGATCTATGGGGCTCCACCAAACCTTCAAATTCCTCTCGCATACAATCCTTACAATCCAAAATTCTTCGTAAAATCCTCAATGCTCCTTACTTTGTTACAAATAAAATTATCCATAATGACCTTAATGTTCCTTATGTATCAGATTTGGCCCAATCCAGATATCTGTCCTTCCATAATAAACTTCATAACCATCCCAACCCTCTTGTCTCTACCCTTGCTTCCTATTCGATTCCTGATAACCCTCCGAGGCGTCTGAAAAGAAGATGGCCACGTGATCTTCTAATATAGACATATTATTAGAGTGCTACCAATGGGTAGTTTCTCAACATGTGTTCCATGTCTTTATACCAATGTACGAATTTACCAGGTGTATTTTTTGTATACAGTTGTAAATATCATATAAATAAATAATAAAAAAACAAAAAAAAAACTTATATTTACTGTAAATTATAAATTTGTGATATTTATTTTAAAGTAATAATAATAATGTAGTGAATTGATATTTTTATAGCATTAAATTTAATATTATATTAAATGTAAATTTTAGCATTAGAAATATTAAGTTTATCGCTTATAAATACAGATCAATTCCTATGACAGAGATCTGACAAATTCATAACAACTTTACATGAAAAATCATTATTTTTAAATTTCTTATTTATTAAATAAAAAATGTATACAGCCAATTATGAGGCTTTCGGAATGAATCACGATTTACCTTGAAAACTATACAGTTTTGGGGTCTTGTACGTTTCAAAGGAATGCTTATAGTTTTCCATACTATGAGTAATTGTAATGCTCCATTTTTTTTTTTTTTTTTAGTATAGATATCATAGTGTATTGAAAGATATAGAATAAACCAAATTATCATATAGGAGCTACCAGGAAATCACTGTTGATATATAAATATATTTTAATATTAGTGGTGGTCTTTCATTATCATGAAAATAGTATCATTGATTATTGTTTATGAATCATCAATATATTTAATATGTCTCTTCATTAGATGATGAATTTATTTTTATTGGATTTTTTATGTTTTATTTTTATTGGATTCTTTTTTTTTTTAGAGCCTATCACCCGTTTAAATCAAGCAAAAGAACTTATGTGGATTTTGCTAGGTCTAAAATTTTGGGATATTATGAAAATCACATTTTGAATAACCAAAGTTCACAAAATGGTAAGTTTATATTTTAATTAAATATTTTGATTAAGACACTTTTTTTATCATGAATTTTTATATTTTTTAAATTTAATTTATACATAAGACTTAATTTGAGTGCAACATCTATACTACAAATAAAAATAAAAATGGACATCCTTTATTACCTATCTGGTTAAGGATATGCGGCAACTTCTATGAAGTCGAAGAAAGATTGGAAAGTGGATGTCCGCAGGGCTCTGTCCTCGGACCTGCTCTTTGGAAATTAGTGTTCGATGAATTGCAGGGGATACTCGAAGAGGGGCGGTTCCCTGCCATGGCCTATGTCATTGACCTAGCCATAGTGGTCACATGAAAGGAGAAGCAGAAAGGCGCCTTCTGGGGCCTCAGGTACTCACCAACGATGACTATCTATAATGGTATCTTGAGGTATGTCTCCCCAACTTTGAATCGTAATCTCTCACAATTCGACAATCCAGAGAATGACTCTGCTGCGGGTAACAAAATCCTACAAGACTGTTGCTCATGAAGCGGTGCAGGTTTTAGCAGGAGGGGTACCTCTCGACCTTCTCCTGCAAGACGATAAGATTAAGTATATTCTTAAGAAAGAAGGCTCAGAAAGTCTTCCGGAAAAACTCTAAGAAAGGATTGCAGCAGATCCATCTAAATGGTAAAAAAATAATACGGTAGGACACCATTGTGTAGTAGAATCGACGGTGGCTAACTACTCATAAAGACCCTACCTTGAGTAAATACTTTCCTACCGTCTATTCAAGGTTGGACGTGAAATGGGTTCTCTCTGATTATTGGGTGTCGCAATTCCTGACAGGGCATGGGGGTTTTTCGCTCCATGCTTCATGGCTTTGGAAAAGAAATTAATTCCCTATGTTCCCGTTGTGGGGTTCCGGAAACTGCTGAGCATATTGTCATGACTTGCACCGCTTTTGATGCAATAAGGGCCAAACTACTGAGAGAAACCAGACTCTCCATCATCACGGAGGATGATTTCCCTCTGCTTGTAAATAGGCATAACTACCCATACTACAAAGCATTCGTGTATGGGTGGAAGGAAGTAGTTGGGGATGATCACTACAACTTCTGCTAACGAAGACAAACGAATCTGAAGATAAGTGTTATAAGTATCAACTACTTCTACCAAAAATCTATATTGCCGAGAGGCAAGGAAAGAAGAAAATAAAATAAAAGGTTCAAATGGAATAGAATATTAAATTTAACAAATAATTTGTGTTATTAAATTTTAGTAAAATTACTTATTTTTCTGTATGATTAGATTTTTTTTTTTTTACATTTTAGGAAAAGACAAAAGTCATGATACTTTGATATTCCCTCTTCTCGAGTTGCCCCCGCTTGGAGTTCATCAAGACAGTCATGTTACTGAAAGGTTACTAGAGGCTGCCGAAGAAGGCTCCAAAGTCACTATTTCAACTGGTTATTTTAACTTGACAGACCAATATGCCAGTTCGATTTTATATAGATCGCAGGCTTATTATAGAATACTGATGGCTCATCCATCGGTGAGTTTTTGAGGGAAAAATTTACCACGGTTTTAATTTTGAAATTTTTTTTTCCTTATTTGTCTTCAGAATGTTAAATTTAAGGCAAACTTGATTGAGGATATGATCAATGAAGTCGAAACACACTAATAAGTAGGAATTATTATATTTATTGTATACACTTTGCAGGTCTTCATCAGAGGTAAATAAACATGATACAGAATTAATATTAAAATTAGGATACAGAACTGTAGTAGGAGTTTAAAAAGAAAATTAATTAAGATTGTTAATATTAATCACATATTTTTCTTTATTTTACTAACCATTACTGCTGGCTTAGGAAATATAAGGACCAAGGTTAGATAGGAATACATAAAGAAGCCCAGTCATTAGTTTATTATCTAAATATAATTTAATGAATAGTAGTGTAATTATTAATTATTATTGGTTTATTGAAATCCTTTGTTAGTTATTTTATACGAAAATGTCAGTGAAATATTGAAAAGTCACGGAACTCTTGACTCCCATCTTAAAATATTGAGAGAGGAAAGGCAGAAAGTGTCTTGCCCCTTCTGGTGCCGGCGCCTATACTACTTATATTTTCCATTAGTCTTCCTATTCTGATTTGTTCATCATTATGAAATATTGTTATGATTTGTGGTTGTACATTATTTATTACTATTTTCACTAACTGCCATGCGAATAGTTCACATACTATATTAGTCAGTGTACAAATTGTGATGTAATATAGAAATAAGAATATGCAAGAAGAATGTTGAGTTAATTTTCTGTTTTTTGGTCAATTACAATGGTTCTTTCAAAATAATAAACCAAAACTTGTGTACAAAGTACAATTGGCTGTATCTTGGCTATAAATGGTCTAAATGATGAATCCCTGCAAAGCTGGTCACATCGTAGACATATAACAGATACCATAAGTTCAGCTTATTAGTGTGGTTTGACTTCATTGACCACATCCTCAACTATTCTCCTCAAATTGTATATACGCAGATAACATGAATTCTTAGATAGCTTTTATTTTTTCAAATAAAGCTTATAAAAATATTTTTTTTTACAGGCAAATGGTTTCCTCAAAGCTGGAGGTTTAGCTGGTGGCATTCCCAGTGCATATACTGGTTTGGCCTTGAGATTTTTCCGGGATATTGTATCAACTAATGCCAGTAAAAGAGTATTAATGCTTGAATATGCACGTCCTGGATGGACATTCCATGCCAAAGGTCTGTGGTACACACCTGTTGGAGAATCTAGCCCTATACTCACATTAGTTGGATCATCTAATTTTGGTAAGATTTTTATCTTTTATTTTAAAAGTATTTTCTATCACTTTTCAAAGTTTTTTTTCTTATGCCTCTTTAACTTTCGGTCCAACCTGGAGGATGAGGAGCTATGGTGTAAGACACAGGGGTCCCTCACCTCTCTGGGTGGAGACGTAACCGTCCCCATACAGGAATTGAACCCTGGTCTAAGCAATCGAGTAGTGCCTGCACTTATTTATTTTAATTTATTTATTATTAATTATTTTTATTTTTTAGCTTTTTTTAATAAATCCCGTGAATAGGATTTGAACTCATGGCTCTACACATTGTACAAGTGTATTCATTACTTTCTCTGGCACCATGACTCTGTACTTTTTTAAACAATCTACTATCATTTTTACTTTCACTTACCTATATGTGTAATATAGTTATATTATATATAATGGAATATATATAAAAAAAACTGGTGCACGCAACACACAACTTTCACTTACCTTTCTACTTTGAATAGAAATTATTTTCTAGCAATGTTGAGCAATTATAAAGTTTTTGAAGTTCACTTTTATCGGAGCTATAGCTTAAAGTTGACAGCTAACAAATCATTGACACCATTAAAATAACAAAAATCCTGTTAATTATATCACCGGTAGACAATAAAAACTTCGGTACTCTATATGTTTTTGTAAACCACATAATTCCAGTCTCTGAGCAATATATATATGCCTAGAGATATTTGAAAGTATATCCCTATATTCAACCAATAAATTATTATGGAATGTACACCTAGTAGTTATTAAACAGTTATTTTCCATTGCAAAGTTTACTGAAATGAAATTATGAAATTTTCATTGCCTGCTATAGATAGATCAAAAGTTTTTACACTAATTTTAAGGGCATAATGTTTTGGATTTCACAAAGGGAAAATTCATCAAATTATTCACTAATTTAATTTTTTAAAAGGTTGGAACAAGTAACAAGATCAAATTAGTGAATAATTTGATGAATTTTTCCTCCCCGATCATTGAAATCACAACATTATCCATTTACAAATAGTGTCTCATCTTTTGATCTATCCATGCTGTATTGAAAAGCTCGTAACTGCATTTTGCTAAATTTTACTAGGAAAAAAACAAGATATTAAATACGGTTAAAAATGTGTGCACCATATTTTTTTCTTTTATATTATATAAGTGTGACATTGGCACAAATTATTAAGAGGGTTGGTGACAAACAACTTCCTTTCTACGGTTCTTTCAATATTTAGAATTTTTCAGAGAAACTTGGGTTGACCTTATTTTAACTACTTGTTATCATGGTTCGTTTCTTTTATAATGTTCTGTAATCAATGAAATGACATAGTTAAAAAAACAATGTCATTTCTTATGCTTAACACTTATCAATATTTAGCCTCTTAATTGTAGAAATCAAGTTTGATCTTTTTTTTTTTTAATATTTTTTTTTCTATTGTCTAGGTTCAAGATCTGTGAGAAGAGATTTAGAAATGCAAGCTGCCATACTCACAATAAATCATGGCTTAAGGAAGAGATTAGCTGATGAAGAGGCAAGCCTGACCGATCTTTCCAGTCCGTTCAATGAGAAGGTTGCGTCGGATCCCGACAGAAAACCAGCTCTGTGGGTCAGAACTACTATGAAGCTGTTTAAAACTTTTTTTTAATTTTTCCTATCAATCTTCTAGTCAAGCGCGCAAAACCAATTAGTGTTTTATGTAATTAGGAAAAAATTGTTACTTATGCTGTTACCATATTTATATCGTTAAAGTATATAAAAAAAAAAAAAATCAAACCTGCAGTTGAATATTTATTGTTAGGATAAAAAATGTCATAGTATTATTGAAGTCTATTAGTTCATCGCCTATATTTAAATGTAATCAATGTAAACTTTGTGACAAAGATATTGTTATATTTTATTTGCAGAACAAATATTATGATCCCAATTTTTTTTTTTTAAATGTGTGTTTAATGGAAGGTTATATAATTGAAAAGTTATTGTGTGAATGTATGATTATAAATTAAAATTATTTATGAAGCTTTCTGATTTAATTTGGTTAATTTATTAGATCTGTTGTGATTTATTTTATAATTAAAAAAACTTCTTGTACACGTATGCTTATCATAATTACGACATTTAACAGAAGGAAATCAAACCACAATATAAGCAAAAATAACTAAGAGTAAGAGGCAGTTTTGAATTGTATACTTGTATGATGTTTCAATTTTTATTAGACTATAAAAGTTTCAAATTTTTCTTATGCATATTTGCAAAGATAATTATCATTAAAAAAGAGTGGTGGGGACGCAGCTTTGTCATGAGAGTGGAGACTGGGCTACATAATGAATACCCTGCCTGTACCTGTCACGTCATTGGGTGTCTTAAAACTTATACCTTAAAACAGTGTTTCCAGCATTAAAACCTCTATCCAAGACATATCTTTCCTTTTTTTCTCTCACTCTGTCTTCTATTAATAGAAATATTTATTTTAAAATATTAGCTTCCATAAATGTATGTTTATAAGAGAGCTAAGAGCATCTAATAGCACTGTGTTCGGCGACCATATATATCATGCGTGGGTGGACTCAGGCCATACTCCCAGTCTCCCCCACACCTCTTAAGGCCCACTGTGATTTCAAGTTTTTTTGATAAATATTAATGTTGTTATTTAAAAATTACAATAGTAACCTTACGTTATAGTACTAATCTCAGTACTAACGTTCATTGACAGTTGAATTCTATTGCAGCTAACATTTTTTCATCCAATTTCCCAATTAGATTAGCCCTTTTACTATTTTCAACAAAAAAGAACTGTCTCTTGATTCTGCCATATTTCATAGAAAATTGAATTGGAAATACAATTTTGTTTTTTTTCTTTAATTAATAAAAAAATCAAACCAGTATAATGTTAATTTTTAATCAATCTATTGTTGCAATAGCAATATTTTGGTTCAGGTATAAACTAGAATAACATTAGTTTCTTAGAATAAATGAAATTACCTTATTTGAAACTTCCAGATTTCCAAAGCCATTTAACTTTTACTTGAGTTTACTCAAAACATATGTATCAGTTTTCTTTTGCTAAATGTTGTACATCTGACCTGTAGTCAGTTTAGAGGTTGTTTTTATTTATTTTCATTGGATTCTGGTGCAGTTCTTGTAAAAATAACAGATTTTTTCCAAAAATCTTTCTAAAATTGAGTTTAGATCCAGAATGATTCGAGTGAATGTAATACGTACTTTTTACAAAAATAAAGGTATTATTTGGTTGTGATATTGAGATATTTGTTTACTGACATTATCTTATTCTTTGTTAGCTATCCGATATGTCTCAATTATTAACTGCTTATTTGCTTAAATTAATATTATTATTGACGATTGTTTGTGATGAGTCTATAAATTTATAGAAATACCACATATAGTAAACAGTTTCTATTTTGTACCTGAATTTCTTTTTAGTATCATGATATATTGTGTGGCGTTAAGTACAAATGTTCAGTTTAAGTAATATATTGCTACTGTTAGTATTTTACAGAATAGCATAAAAACTAATTATTCTTCAGTCTGCAACTGCTATAAGTAGTCAGCTACTGTGGAAAATAGTAGAGGGAAATTAAATATGAAATATACTGATAAATCATAAATAAATTATCAGTTTTTATGCTCTCCTGTAAAATGCAATTTTTATATAAGACCTTTTGCACTAACATTAGTGATATGCTTCTTAGTTTCTATTCTCAACAAATATTGTTTGATTTTTATTCCAGGTCCATGAAAATATCATAACATGTTTTTCTAATGCAATTAAATTTAAGTTTTCTTGACAATAATTGCTCTTGAATGTGAAATATTTTTCAACTCAAAGAAGTATATAATATGTAAACCCATCACTCTGTGATCAAATTATTTGACTACTATTTATATTACATTTTAAAAATTAGTATTTTTAAGTAAATGACAGATTATTAAATATATTATTTAATTTAACAAAATATTACTAGTTTTCCTTGTGCAATAGATTTCTCCTTATGTTAACTTTTATTATGATATTTAGTAATTTTAAAATTATTGACTTCCATAAGGATATTAGCTACTGTGAATTATAATTAACAAGTTTTTTTTCACTTGTTACTGTGTTACTTGGATTTTAGTGAACAAAAAGTATTAAATCATCAAGAGTCTATTTAAATTATTATAGAATAGAGAAATATTTATTGAATTCATGTTAGTTTTGTGAAGTTGATACCCATTTTAGCTACCTAATATAATCATCTTTATCTTCCCATAAATCAAATTTTAAGGGATTCAGAAATCCCTTTGAAGTTATGTATATTTTGAGTTAAAATCAGTTTTGATGAATAAATATTAGGCTTTCGATATTTTGAGTTGAATATTCAGTAAATGTTTATGTTCCAAATATAGGGGCTTGAATGAAATCTTACTGATGTAAAAGCCTCAGACTCTCCTGTATGTGTAATATTTTTGCCTTCCAAATTTATTATAATGTTTTCATATTCTTTTGAACTTTTGTTTATGAGGCTTTGAAATGGGATTGGGAAATAAATCCAGCCTATTCTAGATTGGACACTATTTCATATGTGAATAGATGAAAAATTAGTGTTATTATGTTTGGTAATCATTAACAAAATAGGTACTAATAATAATAATTGTGTTAGTTATTTTATAGTGTAGTCGAGATTAGATTTTCCACATGTTCAGATCACAACAGTTGTGATTGCTTAGTGTGTTGAAACATCAGGTGTACTCATAGAAATAAATTATTATTCAATATTCAAAGAATATTTTATACCTAACTGTAATCAGTTAATATATATTTTTCAATTTTAGGATTAGCTTAAAAGATTAAAATAAAATTTGTTTTAAATAATTACCTCACCTAAAACTTTCAACAGTAAATGGGTTAGTAGCCCCATTTTTTCAATGAAATATTTAATATTTCAATTCTTAACATTTATATAATTTGTTTTAATTTTAATAAGGCAATGGGTCAATTATTTATATATTTATTAAAGATTTTTATGTTAACAATGATTTATTTTAATTAAAACAATTGCAATGTTCAAATAGAGTTCATTATTTAAAAATTGTATGTATCTCTAATGAAACATAGTTTTTGTTCTTAAAATTACAATTTGATCAAAAAACCTTTTTTTTTCTGATAAAATTGTTTGTTATCCATTATTGATAAAAATAATGTCGAAAAGTACGACAAATATATTTTTTGTCAGTTTTAACCAATAAAAAATGTTTCTTTTTCCTTTGTCTTATTATTTTTTGTTTATAATGAATGTTTATGTATTGCAAAAGACAATTGTTTTAACAAGGAAGAGAAATTGCTTAGCTAAGAAAATCCATTGGTGTTGTTGACATAGAGGTTTAGAGTTAGTCTCATTCTCTATGGGCAACATGGTATGTCAGGGTCTCACTCTTATTTGGTTTTTCTTCTTAGTATCCCAGGTAACTAAATAAGTGTAGGTATTGGACTGTTAATGCTTCATTAGTTATTTATTTTATATATACAAACAATTTTTCCAAGATTATTTTAAAAATTTAGAGAAATTTGTTTATCAGATAATTGTGATTTAAATATAATATTAAATTTTTCTTAGGCTCCATGGTTTTTAAGTTCCCAACTGGTGTAAAAAGTAATAGATTTTTACTTACACTTACCTATATATGTAATATATAGTAAGATAAAGTATTGCGATCATGAAAATTTTCTAATCTGAGTTTTCAACAGAAATACATGTTTTGAGTCCAAATAACCAAGTCCTTCAAAATGGTCTCTGTGTGTTAGCAGTCTAGCTCAAAATTGAAAAGTAATAAGAAAGTGAAATACACCTGAGATGTTACAGCAACTTTTTCATCAAAATCGGCTAACCGGAATTAGCACTTAATATCATCGATGTAACACATTGTTACGATTTTCTCGAAAACGACTATCGATTTTAATTAAACTCGCTTTATCAGTGTATTATTAAGTTCTTTTTAATATCAGCTAGGTCTTCTCATTCACATTGATGTCACTTAAATGCCTAATGTTCCTATTAGTCTTCCTCTAAAGTACCATTAATTTGGTTTATTTAAAAAAAAATTCTCTTATAATGGCAGTAACTATAAAAAATCTGGTGCGCGCAACACACAACTTTCACTTACCGATAAAATATTTTCTGGCAATGCTGGGCTACTATAACATTTTATGAAGTACATCTTGAACGGAGCTAAAGCTTAAAGATAACAAGTCATTAAGACCATTACAATTACAAAATGTCTATTTAATATATTGACGACAGGCAATAAAAATCTAGTCACTCCACCTGCTTTTATAAACCTCACAACATTCTTTGCTTTTATAAACCACAGAATGACTAACTCCAATTTCAACATTTTTGAGTGATGTCATTTTAGTGATATTTTTAGTTGAAAAATTTATCTATTTATTAATGAGTAAGTTGATTCCAGAGTTGAAATATAGAACTGAGAATTCCAGAGTTATAAAAATAAATAAATCAGATATGTTCCTTCTACTTTTTTTTTTTTGCTAACATATTAGAGGCTTTTGTAACAAACGTTTTTAATAATTGTAACTTTTTGAAAAATAGAGGTGGGTCGTGCACTATACTGACTACTTTATTTCTCTAGAATTAAATCAAAATGTACATAAAGTAAAAATAATTAAATATGTACCAATATTCTAGGTATCGCCACATCCTGTACACTGCTATGAGGTAAATAATGTATTGGAAGAGGGAAGTGATTTTCATGTTCGTAAGTAATTTTTATGCTCCATTAGGTTTTATATGATAAATTAAGTTTTTTATTCTTTGAAAAAAGTTATTAGCAATGAATCTATATTTAATATTGTAATGTTTAACATACAATTGTAACATTAAAATTCAAGGTATCATAATACTAACACCTTTTGACTAACAAAATGAAAACTCCAGTGTCCAGCTGCCTTAAATATCAGGAATTCTGCTTGAATTTAAGATGCGACAATGTTTTCTTGATCTGTTATTTTATTTCTCACAGTCTTAATAAATGTAGCAAACCAAATGATCTTTTATTATGTGTGATAATGTTACACTCGCCAGACAATATTTTCTTGCTTAAAAATTCTTTTTCATTTCTCACAGATAATAAAAGGCAAGTAGACTGTTCTCCTGTTCTTCAAGAAGAAGAACCCACCGGACGTCCAAGGCTTCTGTCAGATGAGGATAGAAAAAAAATACAAACAAGGTTATTTGAAGGTCTCCTGCATTTCGGAACAGTTGTAAACCACATCGACACATTTATAATGGATAAAAGCAGAATGATATTGAAAAGTCTTGGAAAAATGGCTACAAGTGAAGAAGATACAAGATTTGAAATTTAAATAACATAGCACCAAGTAGGAATGAAAACATACAAATGAATCTATATTTTTCTATACAGTAGTTTATTTACATTTTTAATAATTTGTTTAGCAGTCTTCAGTTTACATATTTACATAAATTCAATGTGCAGTCTTATTTAAATGGTTATACTTTTACTTTAATTTGAAAAAATCTGGAAATTTGAGATGTTTTAATGTTTCAAAGAGACTGTAACCCAAATATTTACTAACAGCAATGGCGCCAATAGCAGTGCATGAAGAAGCAATGAGTCCAAAACAGAGGAACTTTCTTGTTTTTGAATTTGGTTTAACAACCTCCTGTAATATAGCTTGATTATAATATTTATAAGAGATGAAAACATTTTATTGTATTTAAATATTAATGATAATAATGTAAAATATTATGAGTAAATATATTTATACATAAATTAATATTTTTTATTTAGTATTCAATATTTTTACTGAAGAGAAGATTGGTTTGGGTGTTCAGTAAAAAAAAATTTAAAAATAAATAAATTATATTTATTTTTACTTTGGCCGACGTTTCAGCCCCAAGTTCAGGCCTTCTTTAGGGCTCGTCAGACGAAAGATTGGCACAAGACCAAATGTCTTTGGTCCGAAAAGTCGACAAAAATAAAAATAAATATAATTTATTTATTTTTTGACAACATCCCAACCAACCTCCATTTCAATTATTCACTACAGTCAACCATCAATATACAATTCAATATTTTTATATTTAAAACCTTATATATCTTCTTATATATAAAATAAGAAAATTAAGAGTAATTAGAATTGAAACATGGAGAAGGGAAAACAGATGTTCTCCTAATAATACCTATCAGAAACAAATGTGATTTATGAATGAAAATAGCCAATTTATGTGTTAGCTAAATATATATATATATATATATATATAATTTAGTTTTCTAGAATTTTAAATTATGTTTAAACCCTAGATCAGTGGCCAATGAGCCGTATAAAGGCCTGCCTGCCATGAGCATTATTCTGGTCCGCAAGATTCATCACATTAGTAACAAAATATATTTATTTTATAATGACCGAAGTATTTGAAACTTATGTACTAAGAAAAATACATTATTTGTGCATCCATTTATTCAAAAATTAACTGTCGAAATTATGAAAAAAGTCAAATTCTGTTATTAAAATAATATTCTTGCGAATATATGACAGATATTGCCTGTTTTATTTATGAGTTCACAGAATAAAGTTGTTAGTGCTTTTGGTTCAACTTAAATAATTTTTCAAAAATGAAAACATTACGGATAATAACTTGCAACACCAATTACTATAGGCAAATACCCAAATTGAGATCAATATGCAAAAGCTAACTTAAAGAGTGTAGAAACAAATATTGCACTAGTAAACTGAATATTTTTTAATGATTTAATTTTTTAAAATTTCCGTTGTATTTATATATTTCATTTTTAGTGTTATATACTTCTTTACAATGTGCATTTAGAATCATCACTATTATATTATCTGTGTTTATATGTAAGAATAATAGTAAACACAATAATAACTTATTATGTTTCAATTTTCACTCCAAAAAAATGTCTAATTAGTGGGTCTAAATCTAATATGGGGATATATAATTTTAAATATGGTCTGCGAAGTTATGAGACATTTCCAAAATGGCCCACAAGATCATTTGGTTTGGCCAACCCTACCCTAGATAATTCACAAACGGCTTTTCAAACAATTTGTTTCAATTAAAATTTTCAGTGAAATTTAATCATTACATACTGAAAGGAGTATAAACAAGTTAAGTTATATTTTGAAAAACTGAATTATTTTGGTTAAAATTCTTATTGGTACAATGTACCAATATTGCTCCACTTAGATGGATGGTACAAGACCCTACGATCACACTATAAATGGAATCTCCAAAATGGCAGAGCGTGTCCAAAAGTAGACCGATAGTGTGATTATGTGATCTTGGCCCACTTGTCAGTGGAGCAACACTTGTACAAAAGCATCCTCTTTTTTTCAAAATTTAAAATTGTTTCATGGATAAGCAATAATGACCAACCACAAATAAGATCTTGAATGTTTAAATATAAAAATGAACATCACTTTGGAAATCAGAAATCCACCAATTTGTTACTTTGGCTTCAGTAAAGTTCTTTCAGCTTAAAGCAATTAAATAGCATCATATTAAATATCACCTTGATTGTAATATCATTTTCTATGTAATCTAATTGATCTTTCAGCCTCTCCAACAAAGTGTTGATAGCGTTGACAGAGGAATGTGTGCTATCAATCAGAATATTCTTTGGCTTTCTACGAAGGAGTTCTCTTCTGAGAATTATTAATGAACCAAAGAGTGTCCTTATATGATGGATATTATTGCCTATCACCATGTTCAAACTGGAACAGATTTCAATTAAAAATTATATTATTTTATAAACATTGAAATCTCATGATAAATATAAAAATAATAAATTTTTAGCTCATTAACACTTAATCTTCCCAAGTTTATTTGCCGACAATCTGATTTGTTGGAATGGAATAAAAACTCTGAAGCAAATGAAAAGCATGAAGATTCAATCACATTCGAATTAATGTGTTTGATGAGCTACATAGAACAATATAGCATGAAAATTTAATACTTTCGACCACAATGTCTAAGGATATACTCAGAACAAGAACGTCAGCACGTGGAGTAACTTCTAGTCCTTCTAGCTGACACTAAACGGATTAGACGTGACTCGATGGACTGACATGCTAGGTCTTATCCTAAAAGAAACAGTGGGGAAGGAAGAAAAAAATTATCATAGAAAGCCAATGTTTTCGAGTGAACGTACACCTGTACATTTAATAAAGTTATATGTGTTTACTGAAAATTATTCTTTTATTGTATATATTTTTCCTAAACACAATATAATAATACTATTGCAGAAATTGCCAAACAAGGAAAATATATGAGCAATAAGTATTCAAAATTCAAACATATCCAATGAGATAAGGGACAACTCTCCACATAAAGCCAGATATGATTTCTAATCAATCATCACAATTGAGGAATATCAAGCATCTCCTGGACACAAATTACACTGACTAGGCATGGGAATAAGGATGTTAAACCAATTTTATTTGTTGGAAATCATAGTTTTTCAGCATCTTAAAAATAACTGCTTATAAACGTTTTTTTTTTTTTTTTTGGGAGGATTAAATTAACAAATTGAAGATTTTAACAATTAAAAAAAATATTAAAGAAAATAATAGAAAACAAATTCATTCTTGCCATAAATTAGTTTGTGCCCACAAATAAATAAGGTGAGGAATATATTTAATAAATTCAAAGGATGAAAGTTCTGTTAGTAGAGAGGTATTACTTTTTTTTGGTGAGTCATAAAGGTATGATAGTTTTAATATAATAACTAGCGACAGTTTAGATAATAGAGAATTCCTGAATCAGAAAATTAATAACAACTGAAGAAGTAGTATCAATAATACTGTTAATAATAATTTACACTAACTTCAATCAGGTTTCTTGTCATTTTAGATTCAGATTTTAGGTAAAACAATTTGACAAACATAAACTTACTCTGGAGGACCAAATTCATTGACATCTTTGTACAACTGCTTAAGAGGTTCAATACCCTCTAAAATCTTTTTCCTATCATCATCATCTGTAATACCGACATAAAGAAGATCTTCTTCGGTCATGTTGACAAATGTGTCAAACTTAGTAACACCTTTTTTATTGAAGAGTTGAATATACTTCTCTTGTCGCAACCCAGTCAATGTCATCTCCAGACTACTTTCTTGAATAGAATTACTGAAACATTTGACAATAAATGTAATTTAAAAATTTAATTTAATTGAATAGACTTATATATCTGATTGATAAATAATTACAATCCGTTCTGCATTTTTACGATAGATAAACAAAAATCCAAACAAAATATGCAACTGTCAGTTTCAAACTGAAATATTATCAACTAAACAAGAGCCCCATCCACATAGGAACATAAGTCAAATGATAGTAACCATAACATTAACTTCCGTAGTAAAACCGGGACAAACTAATGCAGTGTTGCCAGGCTAATCATATTTTTCTCTCTCAAATTATCTAAATATTTCCCCTAAATCCACTAACATAAATACTGAATGTTTTATTTGAATTTGGGTAAGTGGTAAATAATCTATTTAAGGTTTATTTACCATTTAATTCGATATATAAAATATTTCTTAAATTAGTTTTACTAGTAATAGAATTAGTTCCAGTTATTGATTAGAAGCAAACTTAAAACAAGAATGTTAATCAGAGATGAAAATCATCATCTAATATCGCTTGCCTCCCTCAATAATTTGAAGTTAAAAAAAAAATGAAAATTGATAATAAATATTTTTAGCCGGAAAAGTTATAGAAATGTACCTTTGTTATAAAGGCTGTCCCCCTGAATCTAAAACACGTTTGTTCAGTGCTCTGTATGCTTCTTTCTTGGCCTTCAGCAGATCCGACATCTCCTCAGACCACCAATCTGGTTGCATTCTCTTTTCATCAGACCCTAACGCCGCTCAGGCTGTTGAGTGGATGCACTCCCCCATTATTGCTTCCCCGGCTCAGATCTATTTTTCCTCTAGTCTGCTTCTGTATAACCTCCCAACACTGTCCTCCATAAGAAGATACAGTTTGTACCACTAGCGGATCCAGAATTTAATTTTGGGGGGACTTCAGAACGAAACCTTTTTTTTTTCATAAAAATAACGATAATTACTTTGGAAAAACAGAAAGAAACTAACTACCTATATGAAATGGTGTTTAAGTTATTCTTTAAGTACTTTTAAACGTAATTACACGAACAATAATACTTTAAGAGGTATTTTTTAATTTTTTTCCCATAAAACATGGTTATATTCTTCCATTTTGTGGGGGGGGGGGCTTCAGCCCGAAAGCCCCCCCCGTAGATCCGCCCGTGGTTTGTACTTTTGGTAAGTTGATCCTCTCTGCTTTACAGCGTCCCGCTTTTAGAACTCATCACGGGAAAAGAATCTTGGTCCGAAGCAAAAGTGATTAGTTCCACATTCCCAATCCCTGAACACCCTTGCATCTTACAATTTACAACTTGACTTTTGTCTGGTGATGCAATAATCCAGTATAGACTACTGGAATCCAGGCTTACTACATGTGAATTGGTGTATGGCTTTGTGCTGAAAGAATGTGCTGTGAATCTGCAAAGTGCAGACTTCGATGAGCTCCTTTCCGTTGTCCGTGATCTGAACTTCTCCATACCTTCCTACTGCTCTGCTTCTCTTCTCTTCACTAGTGCATTGAAGTCCCCAAGAATGATGACTAATATATAGATTTAATTTTTAAATATTTAATATTATATTTGCTCGTTTCACAATAATTATGAAACATGTTTACACATAATAAGAACTACTGCCATATTTTTTTTTTTTTTTTTTTTTTATGTCCTTCACCGTTTTTCCCTAATCGAAAAGGAAAGTCTGCTCCTATGAATACCATATTAATTGAATGTTTTAATTTAGGACCAACTATAGAACATATGACTGTATAATTCGTCTCCGTTATTTGAGTTTCTGATCAGGTAATAGATGAAAACATTTAGAAATAGATTAAATAAAAAATCCAGTGGAAAAACTCAATGTATCTTCGTGAACACTTCTTTGCACAGGCGGATCTACGGGGGGAGGCTTTCGGGCTGAAGCCCCCTCCAAAATGGTAAAATATAACCATGTTTTAAAGAAAAAAGTATTAAAAACTATCTCTTAAAGTATTCTTGTTCGTGTAATTATATTTAATAGGACCTAAGGAACCACTTAAACACCATTTCATATCGGTAATTAATTTCATTATTTTTTTTTCAAATTAACTATCGTTATATGTATATGAAAAAAAAAATCTTTCGGGCTGAAGCCCCCCCCAAAAAATTAAATCCTGGATCCGCTAGTGCTTCTTTGTATGTATCAATTTTCGAGAAACTTCTATTGTTTACCGGTTACCTAAACCTAAAACTAAAAAACATATTTTATTGAGAACTGATAAATTTAATGAGACCTACCACTAAATATTCGTTTTTATTTCAGTTTTGAATAGTAGGTATAAAAAGAATCTTACAGAATATTCGAAACACAATTGGATTTTATTTTCAGATTAAGCCATCTGTGGGAAGATCGAAGAATAAAAGTAGTTTATTTATATGGATGCCCTTTTATGATTTTTAAATATATATTACAGGTATTGGCCATAGGTTAAAATCGAAATTCTTAGTAAATAGTATTGTTAAGCTGGAAGACAATAGTTTAAATGTCAGGTTTTATGTTGCTGTGGCGCTTGAAAAACGTCTCTTTGGAGTTATGTTTAACAAAATGCCTTTTTAATTTTACATTTTATGATTTCAGACTATTAAGGCTTTGAGGTAAGAATGGCGAGAAAGGCTTTTTTTCTGGGAATTTGTCTATTTATTTTTAGTTATTTGGCAATAATAACTTCCAATCGGTACCAATTGAGTATAATTCTATTATCAACGTTACATGTTAACAAGTTAGTTGACGTTTCGGGATATTTAGTCCCATCTTCGGAACTGCAATCCCAATAATCTTGTGGATGCAAGGCTAAAAATTTTTTGAGTTATAATATTGTGCTTGTTACATTGGTTGCTTGCTACATTGGTGAAACATCCAAGCAATTAGGGACTAGAATTTCACAACATATCACAAACTGTAAAAATACAAAAAACATAAACACAACAGCTTTAGCACATCACAGTATAAAATTACAGCATAAATTTAACTTTAACAAACCACAGATAATAGGCACAGAACCAAAAAACACCAATAGGAAATTACTTGAAGCAATACAGATCACAAAAACAATAGAACAACAGTCAACTACAAAACAGACACTAAGCATTTAGGAACTCATTATACGGACATATTAAACAAAATTAGAATTTAATAGAAATGAAATTACAGATACATAAAATAAACATTAACAACAATAGTATAAAAATAGTCTGATAAAACAGTCAGATCCAAAGGTCAATTTTTTCACTATTGCAGACACCCAATTATTGCTCAAAAGCAGGATGTTGCTCTAGATGATACATTTTATAACATGAATTAGAAATTTGACGATGGAGCACATCATTATTAATTTTAAGGCTTTTTTTCATTCACACTAAATCTTTTAATGGAGATTCTATAAGTTTTAAACTTAATGCGATTTATTAGATATATTTATTATTATTATTAATTATAAAATGATATATGTAAATATTTTTATGTAATTATAATATGATATAAAGTTTATCATATTATTTAGGAAGCATGAAATTACTTTATAATAAGTAATTTAGATTAGTTGCAGTTAAAAGGCTACTGTTTGTTAATTCAATAATCACACACTTTTACAACTATTGAAAGATTACCACCAAAAAAATTGTTGACAGAAAATAAATTATTGAAACTATGTGTTATGAAAGCTAAATAACTAAATAGGGGTAATTACTTTCGAGCCTAGATAAAGATAGAAAGCAACCCGCATAGTTGTCAGGTTAAAATGTTGTGTAGAATTGAGTATAGCGTCAGTGAGTTAAGATGGACCTTTTGGGAGTGTTGTTGCTGTCTGTATTCCTCGCCCAGGAGGTCTACGCCGATGTCAAGTTGTTGTCCTGCCACTCCGTCAACAGGATTCCTCAAGGGAAACAGACGGAGTACGTCTTCATTTCGACGAAGAAAGGTGTAACATTTCAACAAGTATTGCAATTATTGTAAGGAAAATCGGTCGAAGTAATTGAAAAGTAAACAGTAAAAGTAAACATGTTTTATCTAAAAGTATGTTTACACCAACGTTTTTCCGATTTACTTATTTAAAATTTATGGTTCGATACAGCGTATATATTTAGATATTTCCGTTCTTATCCAACATGTTTTAATTTAAAAAGGGAACTAGTATCATTGAATTTTGACGTGATCGATCTAAATTGAAGAACCCTTGAGAACTCGTGGAGGTATTTTTTGAGGGGGGCAGGACTAAGTGGCTCACTAAATGATTCCATCAGTTTTGTTTAAATATTCATTATCAAACTGACCAGCTATTATTCTATTATTAAAGTTTGCATTACAAAGTTCAGTGGAATTATAGGTATTCGTTTAATGTAGGAAGCTATACTGTTTCTGCTTGGCAAACTTTTATATATCACTATATATATAGTGAGTCCTTCGGGGGCTAGGGCCGAGGTCCTTTTTGCGCTAAAACCAAACGTTTTCGAGATATTCGAAATTTTATGTTTTATCAATTTTCAATATAATATATTTCTTTTCAAGTTTATTTATTATCAGCCAATTTTACGCCAATTTTTAATTTTTTTCAGCTACACATGTAATTACGACGTTTCGGCTCGTTGAGCCATTTTCAAGTCTAAATACCCATCATGCACCTGTCGTTTTTACTTATGCGAATTGCATGCTTCTACTCATAATAAAATTTTTTATTCTTGTCATGTCCACCTTATCATGTGTCACCCACATGTCATGAGTCTCATTTCTATCATTTAAAAATTGGTGTAAAATTGTCTGATAATAAATAAACTTGAAAATAAATAGTATGCACCGAAGAAGAACTGAGAAATATTGTGAATAATATGTTTCTTTTTTTTATTATTCTTTATTCTTTGTTAACCCGATCATATATATTTATGTCAAATCTCGCGTTCCTCTCTCCTACCAACTATTATAACCTTACAGTAACCTCCCTACGTTTTATATTATAGTATTAAATTCTACATAGAATTTTATTTCGCCAGGGCCGTTCATTTTTGCGCTAAAACTAACCGTTTTCGAGATATCTGACATTTTATGTTTTATATTTTATTATTATTTAAGAAAAATATATTTCTTTTAGTAACACTGTAAAATGCCTTTGGAGATTTCGTATTTGAACATTTTAAAGTAATTTTGGATATGTAAACACTACACATAATTCTATTGCGCAGTTATCGAATGGACTTCTAATGAATTCAATGGATCCTTCTAGAGGCCTGCGGGAGCGAGGATCGAGAAGTAAAATTCTTTTTGCATTAAAATCAACCGTTTTCGGACATCCTCCATAAACTTTCCGAAAACGGCATTATTCATAAGCTTATAGAAGTCTTTGTTCGTAGCTTTTTGTCGGTGTTTAATGTTTAGTTCAATATAACTACGAAGCCAATGAGATTGTCGGAATTTGAGAGCTTGATGTACTCGAATTTTTTGCCTAATTATAGACCTTGTTTTTGCGTCCTTAACATGTCTACTCCATCTCTGCCTATCTTCGTCTATTTCTTTACAGCACTAGCGGATCCAAGATTTAATTTTGGGGCGAGGGCTTCAGCCAGAATTTTTTATTTTACTTTGCTACCTATACTAGGTAATGAAAGTATTGCGATCGGTTGAAATTTCTGATATGCGGTTTTCGACGGATTTATTCGTTCCAGAGCCCCCTGAGTCCGAAAAACACATTTTTAGCCATTGGTCTCTCTGTCTGTCTGTGCCAAGATTTTCTCGGGAACTACTGAACCGATTTTGTTCTTTTTTTATTTTGTAAAGTTTTGACTACTGATGCCTGTGACAGAAATTAGGTTCTCCGTGCGCAATAAATTAAAAACATGT